TACGCCTCATGCCAGAGTACACTACACTCTACATTCGGCGCTTCTAGGCCGTTGTCCGTCCCTGCATCCACCGGCTATATCCCCAGATGTATACCAGCTATCTCTACACGCACCAGCCTCCCCTACTCTCCTTGTAAAGATCTTCGTTAATGCATACATACACCGGCAGCTTACAGTATAGCAGCAACAAACTTCAATACACCTGAAACCCATGCCTGTAACAGCCTACCCGTCTTATCTTGACATCTGTCATCGATCGAGGACTTAGTCCCACAGAGCCAACCACCTGCGCTACAACATACCTCGTGCATCCCAGGCCAGCCACAGCGGCCCACATGTGCCATGGAAATTCACTTTAACTCCATCTTGTTTTTCTTGTGTGTGATGGAGCCTTATGTCCGTCTTAGATGCGACCCTCAACAACTGTCCAGGTGGTGAAATGTAAGCAGAGCCACCTGGACAAGCATACGTCCGGTCGCTCCGCACCAGTAGACGTCGAATCCCTTGGATTCGATTCTGGTGTCTTTGTCGAAAAAGACGTCATTATTCAATGTCACGCATTAGCCATGGCCACCAATCGTGCAGCCAGTCCCAATGCATGACCTCTTGCATGGCCACTCTGAATCCGCCTGCTCTGCCAGGCCTATAATAAGACAATGTATCCAAGGTCTGCATCTTGCCCACCTGCCAAAAACACACTCCCCCTAGCCTGTTTTCACCCTGCAAAGGCAGCCGGCCACCGCGGCGCCAACAGCGGGGGATGCACACCAAGGAATCGTGAAATAAGCGGTGTGACTTAGATCCAATCTGCCCTGTCATGCTGGCCCGTGTGAGCCACCCAACCCCACACTATGCCCGTAGTCCGGTGAAAGAGTGCGGAGTACCAAGACAAAAAACACCACTAGAATATTTCAACAAGCTGGAAGAAGTCTCGGAACATTTTTTCTTTCTTTTCGTTCTAGAACTAGACGAATGCCTCAACACACTTATTTAGTCTATGTCAGAGAAACATCCCGAGTGTAGAGTGAAAGCTTGACCGGAGACTATGTAACTGACTAGATGGCAACACGCATGAACTATTTTCGAGACATCATTGACCATGAAATATCCTCGCACATGGCGGTTGGTATGGCTGTTGCGTCGATACGAGCGAGATTTAGCGCATGGTGGTGGAGCAATGGCGCATTTCTCGCAGCTGAGACAACCAAGAACTCATTGGTCCTCCTCTACTTGCTACAGAATACTTTCAAGTCATCGAATGACATTTTTTAAAAAAAATCAATCAAATGTAAACTTTCTTTTCACGACGTTCCTGGATGATATCATCATCAAACTGTATTTCCCTCTACCCGCACATAGAACACCCACGCCGGCCACAAACGTAGTCTCCATCTTTAATCTTTTGACAGCCGCAACCTTACAAGTCCATCGGCTCACTTGCCACTCCGTGTCCCACATGAAGGACCCACCAAATTTTTTTTAAAGCTGGTTTAAAACGTTCCGGTAAAAGAGTACGTTGCCCGTTTGCGGTATCAAAGTGGGGTCACCTTGAACTAGTCACAATACACCAACATTTCGCAAGCGTTGGCGTCTTTTTTTTCCTTGCCATCGCAAGGAGATAAACCCCCCCCAAAAAGCTTGAACAAACGCTAAAGCATGTGATAATCAGATTCTGATGCCTCGTCCCGGAAGTCTGTGTGTGTGTGCGTGTAGTGCGTCAGTGACGCGTACTTTTGACTAGTAGGGGACGTGGGGTTATTAAGCTTGTGTGCACCGGACAGAGGGGGGATTGGTTGTCCTGGGTTATGCGTTCAAAGCCCTCCCTCCCCTCTTCTATTTACCACACTGAGCGTGCAGACAGCCATTGATAAAAAGATTGGCTAACCTTCTCTCTCACACATCAATGTGTGCTTCTTTGGCCATCGTGTTTTGGTCGATCGTAATACTGATTTCAACCCGGTTTCATTTCACGTTTGTTTCGTTAAGTAATGAATAACTATCACAATCTACTAATGTCCACAGATGGAAACCTGCCAGTCCAATCAATGCAGCTCTGTTAGACATCTGACACTTTTTTTGAACCCAAAGGTCTAAGAATTGAGCAACGATCATCAAGGCAGGTTACAGCACCTATGTAGTAGTTGCGCAGAGCCCATTTGTTGGCGCTCCAAATCACTAGGGCCTTGGCACTGGCCGTTCAGAAGGTCTTCCGATGCCTACTAGTCGTCACCACTCTTGCTTTTTTTTCCTATTGCTGTCTGGTAAACGTACCCCGCATCCAAATCTATTGTTGCAGTGAGGACCAAGATATGTACTCAGAATGATCTACGCCAAGTCGGACGTGTTCGTGATCTTGGTCTTGGTCTTGGGCGCTTTTGGTACTGTTTTTTTTGCTTGTTTTCCAATCAAGAGAAACGCCGTTGAGTAGGAGTAGTCCCTTTACGAAGGTATTGCAAATTCATCCTGAATACGGATGTATACAATTTTCAAAGCGACCGCGATGAGAAGGTTAAGTGTGTTGATGCGAAACTTATGTCTTTATTCGTCTCCTCTCTTCACTTCTACGCTGTCATGCTTCTCATCAAGTTCATCTCTTCGCAAGTTGTCATATCATCTCAATCCATACGAATCTTTTGCTTCCAGTTCGTTTAATCCCTAATGGCTGTTTAGACCCCGATTTCTCGGCTTATGTTTAGTCAGTCTATGCCTCAAGACATGATCTTCTTGTATTCGAATTTGGCTGCATTTTGGCATTCAAATTGATAACCTTTTTCCCAATCGCATATATTAATCTCCTAACAGATGTCTTTTCTCTCTCACAGTCAATCCAATTATTGCAAACTCGCAACACTGTACCCCCGAAGCAGTCATCTCTCACTGTCATGTCACTTTCCACTGGTGTCCTACCATATGAATTCCTGCTGAGGGATTTCAGTCGCCTTCCAGAAAGCTTTAGAACCTCATGGATATCAAGCCGTTACCGTATCGAGTAATCAGTCTTCTTCTCCCCTCACTGAGACCTTCAGATCCCAACAACACCATTCACTTCACCATGCAAACGCAGCACTGCATCATGCAAGAAGCTCGGCCTTGGCCTTGGCTTGTGCTTGAAAAATCCGCACATAAAGACCACTTACCTGCTATCCCCTCTACACTCTCCCCTCTATCTTCTTCTCACTAATATCCCACACTCCCTCTGGCCAAACCACCAACTCCGGTGGTCTTGCCTCAGATTACCACTTCACAAGATGGACGCCACTGAGCTCGCAGGTAAGCGTGACACACCCAACAAGACTTTGATCAGTTCTCACAGCAGCAGCCGTCCAAAAACTTCTCAAAGAAATTCGCATCTACGCCACCCAAGGTCCCGCCAATGCGAACGATCCAGGTAAGTCTAAACCAGCCACCTTCAGTGGCTCCACATGCTCAGTACTGACACCCAAAGACGCATTCGACGAGATCCGTAAAGCCCGATTCGGCAAAGCCCTCCCATACGAAGAAAGCCAGGATGTAATCCTCGATCCCACCAAAGTACCATCCTCCTCCACTCCTCATCAGAAAATCCTCACAACTAACCACACAACCAGAAGCTTCCCTTCCTCCCCACCGAGATCCTCAGCGAAATCACGTCGCACACCGCGCCCTCGGACCTCTCCAATCTGCGTCAAACCAGCAAGCGCTTCCGCTTCGCCACCAAATCGCTCTTCGGTAAGCGCCTCGTCAACTCCCGCACCATATACCCCACCTACTCGAGCCTGTCCTCCTTCCTGGCCTTGCTCCTTGTCGACCCCTCCTACCCCCACCTCGTCCGCACCCTTTCGTTGGTAAGCGAGCACGCGGCGCCCAACGCCTACGGCTACGACTGGGCATGGGAGGAGCTCCAGAACCGAGAGCAAACGGGTCCGACTACGCGTGTAGACCGTGTCATCAAGCAGAGCATCGAGATGCGACATGAGCGGTGGTGTACGAGCAGTGCGGCATTCGTGTTCGGAGGCGGTTATAGAGATATGTTGAGTAAGCTACCCTTACCCCCCGTCACTCCATTCTTCCATTCTTCCCATTCTTTTTTTTCGTTTGTCTGCGTTGAAGCATTGTGTTGTTTTTTGTACATGTGTGTGTGTGTATCGGGTAACTCATTACAATACCCACCCACCAGCCATCTTGTTCAAACGCCTACCTGCACTCCAAACGATTCGCCTGCGCAAACTGTCTCTCGGTGAGAACATTCCTGGACCAGACGGCATCGAGTTTCTCCAAGGAGCGCTCCAGGACTTGTCGTTTTACCGCTCAGGACTGCCGGTCAATCGCGTCCTTTATCAAGAGTGGCAATATGACATGGTCTATCAATGCATCACGACGCTCATCGATGAGTACGGCGACGAGTACATCTGGGACGGGGCAGGACCCCAAGCAGATTGCAAGACAGATGCTTTGGCTGCGGTCAAGCGGGCCAAGAGCAAGGCTGTTGTTGTCAAGATGAAGAGGGGTGTTGTTGAAGAGATCGATGAGGATTCCGACGACGAGATGTCTGACGAGGGGGATTCTGACGAAGAGATGTTTGATGAGGAGGATGATAACTGAGGTGAGCACTGGTGCTCTTTATTAGTAACGTTGATTGACTTTCCCGAACTCCCCGATTTGAGGGTGTGAGACTGAGGTTTGGGCTGCTACTGGGTCGATTGTACGATGTTTGAGACGTTGTGGATTGTCCTTGATGGACTGAGATTGCGATTTGAGAGGAGATACCCGCGAAGGTGGAGGATGATGATGAAGATGGACGCATGGTAATGGATGAGAGAGAGAGAGGCCAGTTACCAGTAGTAACCCCACGACAACGACGACGACGATTTCAACAAAATGACACATACAACGGAACGACACATACAACAGAAACGACACATATACCAAAAACCACATAGCGGAACGCAATGTCATGACGTATACATTCAAATCTTCTTTCTTTCTTTCTCTTTGCGTGATAAATATGTACACATCTTCATTCACCCCTCCCCAAACACAAACATCCTCCAATTCTTCCCAAGCCGTGCCACCCCATCTTCCAACGCCCACCCCTTAATCTTGCATATCCTACGCACAATATCTTCAAGCCTTATATCCATTTGCTCGCCTGCAGTATGCAAATCGCTCTCGACAAGCAACATATGATCTGGCACCGTCTTGACCACGTCCACGAAACTTTGTGGCGTCTCCTCATCCATCTTATCGGAGAGATTAATCGCAGTACTGAAACTAGCAAAGATTTGCGCAGGGATAGCGGGGTTGAGGTATTGTTTGAAATTGGAGACGTTGCCCGAGTAAGAATGGAGACAGATTCGTGGGGGGTAAGGTTTTGCTTGTCCTTCTGTCCCCATATCACTCGTTCCCTCTGCGTCTGCTTCAATTGCAGCTTCGGCAGCTGGATGGTCTACACCACGTTTCTTACGCTCCCGCTTACTCAGTACCTGCTTCTCATGTCCCTTCCAGAGCTCAGATAGCACTTCCAACACCAGTCCGTGGGCTTGGACTCCGTGCACGCTGACTCCCCGGTTCATTTCCGCTGCGAGTTGGAGTTGCAGTTTGAAAATCTTCTTCTGGTGCGAGGGACTCGCGCGGAAGGGCGTTAGACGGCGTCCTTCGCGCCCGCCGGGAGTCAGGCTGCTGTCGCGTTTGCACCAGAGATCGTGATTTCCCGTCCAGGACTCGGGGATGCGGAAGGAGCGGTCTAGTCCAATTTCGCCGACAAGAGCATAGGGGTATTGCTGTAGCTGGTGGCGGGTGTTGGATAAGAATGTGCTAAAGGGAGTGGGGTCGGGGAGGGAGAGGTAGGTTTGGATGTCTTCTTCGCTGGGGTTTTCGCGGGAGGGATGTAGGGCTGTTTTGTAGTGTGCAATTTTGGCTTCTCCGGTGAGGTTTCCTTGCTCCTTGAGACTATTATCTGGGTCGATATCTGACGTGAGGTACATTTGGTGTGAAAACCACGGGTGCCAGCCGAAACATGGTACGATGCATTCTTCTCCTGACCATTGGGAGGGATCTGCAGATCTGATGGTGTGCTTATCCGCTGTAGCAGTGACAAGATCTTGGTCTTCGGCTCTTGTTGCCATGACTGTGAGTACTCGCGCTTTCATATCTTGTATTGTTTCGATGCTGGACATGGTATCGGTTGGATGGCAATGCGCATCGTAGACACCCAGATGCCATGGAAAGTTTTCTTCATTCCCATCGTTCGTCATCATTGTATTCAACATAATATACCTTGTTAAATCCTCCGTTTTTAAAACTGTATCTAATGTTTGGGTTACAGGTTTGAAATGGGGTCTTGAGTATGACGTAGATGTGAGGCTGGTCGGAGAAGCCTTTTTCCGCTTCCCGTCATCAAAGGGCCTTCTACGCTGCGTGGGTCGTTGGGGTATCCATACCAGTCAACGCGGAATTTACTTCCACATAATCCAAAAAAAGCAAAACAGGGTAGGTATAAAATGTCAATACTCGACATGTCTTGCATTTGGACTACCCAAAAACTATGCTATGTACAACAAAAGGGGATGCTATTTTACATGGCGTCCGCCTTATTCGCTTCATTACAACTAGTCCTTGTCACCCATCTGACAAGGCGTCTCGCATGCCAACAAGACGCAACAAGGAAAAAGAAAAAAGAAAAAGAAAAATACAGACGCAGACGCATATACCCCATTGCACCTTGTTTCTCCCACCGGACAATTAGGGAAAAAGAAAATGCGATGCAGACTTGTATAGGCCGTGGTTGGTGTGAAATAGCAAAACAAAGCAAAGAAAGGAAACCTCACCAATTGATGGAGAAACCCCAAGAAATCAACGCCATAGCTATGCCAACTTTATGGATCTCAGGAGTAAAACGACTTAATGGAAGGAGCACGGGAATGCAGGCGGCTAGGAAAACGGAGGGGGTGCGAATACGTGGGAAGCCGTTGCTTGGATGACGAGGCTGATGCATGTAGGAGGGCGTAGTTGGCTTTGGAACTGCGCTTGGGCAAAATAATATCAGTCACCAGCTGAGGACTGTGTCTAGTATGATACAAGGGTGTGAAGGAGTGTGGAGAATATAGAGGCGGTGGCGGTCAAGGCACTACCTTGCTACACGGTGGATCAACCTAGGCAAGCATGTTAGTGATAAAGGGAACGATGATGATGATGGTCAGGCAAGAAGTCATGTACCTTAGGGTGCTAATAGCAAATGTGGCAATCCACGCAATGAGGGCAATGAAGAGCGTGGCCGTCAGGCCCTTTTGTCTCTCACAGATGCTCATTCTGTAAGGGCAAGCATTTTCGCTGCCGGATTCAACGCATGCCCATTTCTCATCAGTGAGGGCCTGAAAAGCTAAACTAAGGTTGGCAGACTCGAAGACGATAAAGGCCAGGTCGAGAAAGATCAACGACATTTTGGCATTGTGTGAACGCAGTCCGAGGGGTTTCGACGTGTACTCGTCGTAGGTGATGTAGAGCGTGTAGATGATTGCTACAATGTCGACAAGGATGGCCATCCATGTCGACGAGTTGTTGCTGCATCCATTGTTGTCGGAGTGACGGTAGATGGAGGCTGCTAGAGAGAGGGCGAGGGTGGAAAAGATGAGCACAAAGGCACGGATCACGGCAGGGACCATGGGATGGTTCATCACGGTGTTGTGGAAACGAACAAGGGCGCGCCTTCTTTTCTCTGATGTAAAGAGCCAGAAGCCCTTGATCTGTTCCTTGGGCGCACTCTCGCCAATGGGCTCCCACTTTTGCTCGAGGTCGGGCATGTTTTCCCTCATCCAATCGTCGTCTACAATCTGGCCGCGTGACGAGATGGGGCGGTCGAGGTTGGAGCCCTGGGTGAACTGTTTCCACTTGGGAGCACTGTCGCTAACGGGGGTACCAAGGGTGACGGGAGCGCCTTCGCGGACATGGTCAAACTTGCGACCCGGGACGTTTGACTTTGGCGTTGGACAGAAGTTGTGGGTTGCATGGCGGACCGTGGTGGGCGTCCTCGGCAGGAGGAAAGAGGTGGCATCGGCATCGTCCTCGTCTTCGGCAGACTGGACCCAAGGAGGCAGTGAGCGTACAGCACGCTGGCGTTCCCTGTTCTCCGCGCTCGCGGTCAGGCTTCGGTTCGAGGACGCCAGGGTGCGCGGAGTGCTGGAGATGGAGTACGACTGGCTCTTCCGGGCGGGGCCTCCGTCGTGGCTGTCCTTGGAGACGCCCGAGACGGCGCTGATGCGGGACTGGGGGCGCTGGAAAGAGTGCGGGTGCGAGTGCAGCGACGAGGACGAGGGCGGCGGGATGGGCGAGGGCAGCAGCCTGTTTGGTTGTGCTGGGGCGGGCGTCGGAGTGGGAGTGGTGGAGGCAGCCGAGGACAAGGGCGAGGGCGAGGGCGAGGACGAGGTCATGGCCGGGGCGTTGGAAGAGGCATTTGGACTGGAGACGTGGGCGCTCCCCTGGGCGGCAGCCACGTCTGGGCGAAGCAAGGCGGCCGCGTCCGTGAGGCCAACGGGGTCGATGTCATTGTTGTCCGTCTTGGTGGGCTCGCCCATGGGCGTGCTGGTCATGCTTGTCGGAGGATGTGAGGGGCGTCCTCGTCGCACCAGCGGTTCCCTTGAACAAGGCGCCCGTCCCTGATGTCAGATGTTGCGCCCAAGCAAGATTCGAAGGGGGGTGGTTGGAAGCTTGGCGCCAACGCAGCGCGGCTGAGGAGCAGTTAGGTGGGAGCAAAGTAAACAAGACGCGCACACAGCATCGTCCGGCAGGGCGGCGGTCTGGCGAGGCGGGCGGGCGCAGCAGACAGCGCAGACAGGTCAGACAGGCCAGGCGGCGCAGGTGCTGTGTGTTGAGCGTTGGAGCGGTGCCGTCAAAGTGTGGGTGGTGGAGCGTTGCGAGGTCCGTTCACCCAAAGGCCTAAAGGTTGGCTGCATCTGGGAGATTGCTTGTCGGCCGATCCTCTGCTTGCCACCCACCCGCCTGCAGCCTCGAAAGCGTCCCCATAATTCACTGGCCCTGTACATACACCTCCGACTGGACTTGGTTTTTTTTCTACCTCTCTCTCTAGTACTACTCGACTCTAGCATGCACTGCCAGCGCCTGCACAGCCTGCTCTGCACAGCCACAGGGCCGCTCTGTCGCCACAATGTGCTGGCTGGGCCGTCGTGGTCGCAGGTTTTAATAACCTGACGTAGGCTCACCTGCATCTGCGCCATTGTGTGCTGACATCCATGCTGCATCCGACTACTTGCATATTTACATACTGACGTAGTAGTCCCATCGGCTTACACGCTACTTCGGCTTACCTAATCCGCCCTCCCTCTGCGCCAATACCACCCACTCCCCGCACCCACCACCAAAACCCCTCTCACGATGCGTCTCTTCCTGCTGCCCATCTCCACCCGTCGCTCCCTCATCTACTGCGAGAAGCTGCACGAAAAGGCCCCAAAGGATCGCTCCCTCTATGACAAAATCACCCTCAAGGCGAGCGAGACGTGGGTGGCTTGGGAAAAGGATCAAAAAGCCGTGTGGGACTGGAAGCGCAAAGTGACCTTTTACGGCAACCAGGCATTGACGCGCATCCCCTACGAAGAATGGGGCCTCAAGACCATTCCCGCCCTCACCGCCAAGCGGAGGCAGGAAATCCTCGACGGCAAGGCAAAATACGAAGTCCTCTTCCCAGGAAAATATCTGCCCCAGGAGAGGGTCCCCAGCCTGCTTGAGAAGCTGGCCAAGGAGAGGCAGCACATGCACCGCACCAAACTCATCTGGAGCGTTGTCATCATGCCCTTCACCGCCCCTTTTATGCTCGTCCCCATCATTCCCAATCTGCCCTTTTTCTACGTCCTCTACAGGGCCTGGTCGCATTGGAAAGCCCTCGGTGGTGCACGACACCTCGAGTTCCTTCTCAAGCACAATCTCCCCAAACCTAATCCGTCATGGACCCTGGATGAACTCTACACCGCCGGACTCATGTACCCCACCCGTGCCCTTTCCCGCGCCGCACCCCGCCCAACCCCGCAACAGGCCCAACAAGTGGCCGCCGTGGTCCACCAGCAGACCAACAATGAGACCGAAGACGTCATGGTTCTGCAGCGCTGGAACGGCAAGCTCATTGCTGAGCAGTTCAATCTGCCAGACATGGAGGTCGAGATTGAGCGCGCAGTCAGCCAGGTAGAAAAGGCAATCAAGTCAAAGGAAGAGCGCATGGAGGAAAAGATCGAGCAGGAAAAGGCTGCTGGCAGCAATGGCACTCGAGCCAAGGATACCCTACCCAAGGAAATTCTTGAAAAGATCCACGACAAGGCCGAAGACGTCGCTGAAAATGCCAAAGTTGGTATGAACAAGGTCCACTAATTTTGAACATGCTTGGACGAAGATGATGTTTAATTACCACGAAACGAGACATGTAACATATCGCGCTGCGCGTTGGGAGGAATTTTGATGTACTATACCACACATAGAAGGATCACCACATCTGTACGAGTAGATGCTCTGCGAAAGAAATACAAAAAAACGGTCGTTACGAGCTTGTGATCCTGGGGTGATGCACCGGTACAGGACTTCAGGCTTACCTACAAGTCTCCATCACAGCTCACTCTTGTCTCCCCGAAGCTGGTCCAATTTCTCCTTCTCCCAAACAGCCGGTCCATCATCCCCATACAGTGGATCCTTCTTTAACCATTCTACACGGCCCACCGCTTCTACTTTACCTTCCTCGCCCTCTTTTCCATAGCACATATCCCAGCTACACCCCTTTGGATAGCTCCCCACCATGGTGAACCCTCCATCTACATCCTCCACTAGCCGATGTCCAACTCCAGCCGGCACAAGCACAGCATCTCCCGCGCTTACTTCGGCTTCTATCTTGCCAGGATTAGATTCTCCTCCGAATAGTAGCTGTGCACGCCCAGAAAAAATACACAGAAACTCATGCGTTGTCGAGTGGTAGTGTGTCGTCGAGTACATTGTGTAGCGCCACTGGGGGGAAAGACCGTTGCGAGGGACATGGGCTTCTAGAGTCGAAGGAGAAGTTGATGGAGGAAAAGCCGAATGGTAGATTATAAGCGGGTGGCCGCGTGGTGTTGTGTTTGGAATTAGGGCATGAGAGGGAATGTAGTGTGCGCTTATGCGCAGGGCAGACAGCGGTGTGAGGTGTAAAGAAGGCATTTTTTTTCTTGGCTTCTTTTTCGTAAAAAGCTTACTTGGTTTAGTTTTACACCTTTGTACGATCCTCGGAGGTTTTTTATCAGATTAGGAAAGTAATATAGGATTGAGATTGAGGGATGTACCCTGGAGATGATACAAATTCATGATCGCGGAAATACGTCATCGGGCAGGGAATAGAATTGATGGATGGGATGCTTAAGTGCAAATGACTGATTCCCCATCCCTACAAGATTGATTGTAAATCATCCAATTCAAAATACCCAACAATGGCCATTGGCATCTATCCACCTTTGAAAAATGTTTAGCATCTTTGAAATTTGCCACCCGCAGGAGTTGCTCCGTCTGTCACCGAAAACAAGGGTAAAAGCCGTGGCAATAGGATCTCTCAAATTCACAGTCACAGAGTCTTATACGGTGAAACTTCTGACATCGCTATCGACAGCATCTGTCCTATGCTCTACTGATAGTAAAGGTACTTGGACAACATTGTACTGAGCTAGATTGGCCAGCCAACAGCATTTCTCCAAAGACCCTCTCTTGCGACTACCCTGCATATGCACGAGTAGGCGTGAGAGTATCCATTGCCCAAGAGTGGCCCATCAATCTGTCTGGGTATAAAATTTTGGTGGCTATGGGCTGAACGAAGGCGGGTCTCGGTGTACAGCTAGGCTACGTGAGCGGGACCCTTGCGGGCGCCAAGCCTCCCAGCCTAGCTCGGTGCTGCCTGAACAACTCAAGCACGCTGAAGTGACTCTCAAGACGTCGCCGCCTCCTACTCCCTTCTGGCACCTTCGTCTTGCACCTTTCTCCCTTCTCCTCACTTTGTGTCGACGGGAAGTGCATACACTCCACTTCAAGACGGAAGCCGAGCGCTCGGTATCTCTGGGACTCCCCACCGGCCGCCCATCACTCCCCTCCACTCCGCCCTCTCCACACATAACTACCTTTACTCTCGCAACCACCTTCACTCCACCAAGAGTTATAAACATCTCCGCGACTGCGGCTGTTTGTTTCATAATACGCTTGTCTGCGACACAGCGGTACCGGTCCCAAGAAGCTCCTCACGCGCAAGTCGCCCCCGACGAGTGCCCCAGAGCACGCGACGTTACACTCCAATATGGCCTCTTCTATGCCACCCGTCCCTGCAAAGGACGATGTTAACGCTACGTAAGTACCTTTGCATACTTGATACGTTCCTTGTACCTTTTCCATATACTTGTGCAAGACGCCGCGGCGAAGCCCGGATATCCTGTAGCAAGACCACTCACGACCAGTCGAACTATATCATGCTCAGCCCTCAAATTACGCGATTCGCTTTTACGAGAGCTACTGGATGGGGGTATCCAAAGCAATAATCATTCCTCATATCTCAATATTTACGTCATAGCTGAATTGGGACTATTTACTGATGATTCACAGGTGGAAATATCTCGAAGCCGGCGTTGACAAGATCATGACCAACCTACGCGAGGGCGTCGATATGAAGACATACATGGGACTCTACACGGCGATCCACAACTTCTGTACCGCCCAGAAGGCTGTGGCGGGCTCTTCATTCCACGCCGCTAACAACCGCGGAGGTGCTCATCTGCTCGGAGAGGACCTCTACCAGCACCTGATTGAATATCTCAAGGCACACCTTGCACAAGTACAGGCAGCATCACGGCAGCATGTTGATGAAGCGCTCCTCCATTTCTATATCAAAGAGTGGAATCGGTACACAACCGCCGGACAATACAATAACCATCTATTCCGCTACTTGAATCGCCATTGGGTGAAGCGCGAGATGGACGAAGGTAAGAAAAACATCTATGACATCTACACCCTGCATTTGGTTCGCTGGAAGGAGGATATGTTCACTGGCAGTCAAGAGAGCGTTATGCGGTCAGTGCTCAAGCTTGTTGAGAAGCAGCGAAACGGTGAGACTATCGAACAGTCGCAAATCAAGTCAGTCGTAGATTCGTTCGTTTCGTTGGGTTTGGACGAGGCGGACAGTTCCAAGTCAACGTTGGACGTTTACAAGGAGTACTTTGAGAAGCCTTTCCTACAGGCCACAGCAGAATACTACGACAACGAGTCCAAGCAATTCCTTGCAGAGAACAGCGTGGTAGAATACATGAAGAAGGCAGAGATTCGCCTGGAAGAAGAGAAGGAGCGCGTTCCCCTGTACCTGCTCAACGAGATAATGTCTCCGTTGATGCGAACATGTGAACAATCGCTCATCACCAACCACTCCCAAGCCCTCCGCGAAGAATTTCAGATTCTCCTCGATCATGACAAGGAAGAGGACCTTGGCCGGATGTACAAGTTGCTTGCCCGTGTTCCCGAGGGCCTTGATCCCCTACGTCTGCGATTCGAAAACCACGTCCGTAAGGCGGGCTTGGCTGCCGTTGACAAGATTGCGCAAGACGGCGAAAACATTGAGCCCAAGGTATATGTCGAGGCACTCCTTGAGGTTCACACTCAATACCAAGCGCTCGTCAACAAGGCCTTTAATGGAGAGTCTGAGTTTGTACGATCGCTGGATAATGCTTGCCGTGAGTTCGTGAACCGAAACAAGATCTGCAAGTCGGGCTCCAACAAGTCACCTGAGCTTCTCGCAAAGTACACCGATACACTGCTGAAGCGCTCCAACACCAAGATGAGCGAAGAGGATGACATGGAGAAGCTCCTTACGCAGATTATGACTGTCTTCAAGTATATTGAAGACAAGGATGTGTTCCAGAAGTTCTACTCGCGCATGTTGGCCAAGCGTCTGGTCCAGACGACATCCGCATCCGACGATGCCGAGACCAGCATGATTTCCAAGTTGAAGGAGGCCTGTGGTTTCGAATATACCAACAAGCTGCAGCGCATGTTCCAGGACATGCAGATTTCCAAGGATTTGAACACTGCTTTCAAAGAGTGGCAGGCTAACAACCTGGATGAGGCGGATATTAAGACCAACGTCGATGCATCATACCACATTCTTGGCACTGGCTTCTGGCCGCTGAACCCACCCACTACACCATTTACTCCCCCACAACTCATTGTTCAGACTTATGACCGTTTCTCCCGCTTCTACAACCACAAGCACCAGGGCCGTAAGCTTACATGGTTATGGCAGTTGTGCAAGGGAGAGGTCAAGGCCAACTACTGCAAGGTTGCAAACTTGAAGACCTCGCCAACCTTCCAGGTCTCAACGTACCAGATGGCAATCATGTTGCTGTTCAATGACAGCGACACCGTCACGTACGATGAAATTGCCGAGTCGACCAAGCTGAACAAGGAGACCTTGGACCCCAGTTTGGGAGTATTCATCAAGGCCAAGGTTCTTCTTACTCAGCCTGAGAATGCCAAGCACGAGTCTGGTACCGTCTACAAGCTCAACACTGGCTTCAAGACCAAGAAGGTGAAGATGAACTTGAACATTGGTATCAAGTCTGAACAAAAGGCCGAGGCGGAGGACACGCACAAGACAATTGAGGAGGACCGCAAGCTCCTTATTCAGGTATATACCTTCTTGTTTAGTTTTCACATTGAACATTATACTGACGTTGCCACAGTCGGCCATTGTGCGTATCATGAAGTCGCGAAAGAAGATGAAGCACCAGCAGCTCGTGTCTGAGACGATCCAGCAAATCAAGAACCGCTTCATGCCTCGTGTTCCTGACATCAAAAAGTGTATAGATATTCTTTTGGAGAAGGAGTACCTGGAACGTCTGGAGGGCGATGAGCTCGGTTACCTAGCATAAAGCAGCTTCCTGAAAGGCGTAAAGGTAGTATGGCAGGCATTCTTGAGTAATGAGTTATGCGGTTCCATTTTCATGGGTTGGGTGTCCATTCAACATCATTGCGTTTTCCATGATGTTTTATCATTCTGGCGTTTTTGTAAAGGCAAGCAGCAATGGATGGGTGGGTGGTTCTACCTATAGGGTGGTATAGGGTCATAGATGTGGACTTACTGCTATGAGCATGATTGTTTACGCCTTGTCGGTGTGCCTTTTCTGGATGAAAATTGAATCAGTGTAAATCGGTAAATTTGAAGTCCAGGCTCATGATTACGCATTCGTATTGTTATTTCTATCTCGAAAACAAACGCTTGAACATTACTTACCCATATTTGCTACCCTAGATCCTCTTATTTCTCTTCGGCCACGCATCTACCAACCCCTCATAAACCTTCACCTCGCCCACGCTGACCTTCTCCTCTCCTTCTCCCTCCACAAAAACGCCAATGCTCTTACTATCCGCATACCACGGCCTCACCCACGTACTCAGCGCAAACCGATCATTCGCATGCACCTCAACCACCCCACCATCCACCACAACCGACAGATTCAGCGTCTCAATCCGCGACGCATTGGCGTGGGCTGGTAAATCGAACAGACGGAACCTACCCTCCTCGTCGTACGTAGGTATGCCCTGCGTTGTATTCGCCGCCGCAGACGACCTCCCCCGTTCCACGCTGAGTAGCTCGGAACCGATATCGTAAATGATGCGCGTTGTCTCGTGCGCGCCAGAGAGAATCGTAAGTCCCGCTTTCAAACCCGGTGTGCGAGAGGAGAAAGTCAGGGAAGCGGTAAGCATGTAGTGGTTCTGCTTGGGTGTGTGGGACAATTTGCGCTGCTCGCCGGGTGAAAGCTGATTCGCAGGCAAGGTGAGTACGTTTGTTGCATTTGCCTTGAAGGCGGTCTTGACTTCGCGTGCGAGTTTCTGGCATAGAGTCGCAAGACGCAGTGTACCGTCTCCGCTCTCTCGCTCGATCCTCCACGCCCCGGTTTCGCGGGCTAGCGGCGTATCGAGCACGTCGATGTAGCAGCGCGATAGCTCGCGGGGGAGGAGCAAGGAGCCTGTCCAGTTTTGCTGGGCGGTGGGGAAGGGTGAGGTGCCGTAGAGATCGCCGGTGAGCCAGAGGTAGGTGATTGCGCGATCGGGGGCGCCGCTTGCCCAGCTGGGCTGCGAGTCTGCGGAGAGAAGCTTGCCGGCTGCTGCGTAGGCGGAGCGGCCTGCATCTAATCTGCCTGCCATTGTCGGTTCGAAGGTTAGTTTGCCGTCGACGAGGGATTGGGTGCCGGCGATCCAGAGCATGTCTCTTTCGTCGGAGACTTGGGGTACAATGGGTGCGTAGCTCCATTCTGCGCCTACGGTTAAGAAGGTTTCGCCGGTTGAGGGATTTGCGCCGTGCTCATCGAGGGAGAAGATGTTTGCGACTTCGAAGTTGAAGCCCCACCGGCCGGCCCAGTTGGATTCGGTCCAGGTGGTGTTTGCGGCCTCGTGCCAGTACTCGCCTAGGTACTCCCAGGTTTGGAATGAAGCAGAGTCTGAGTCGTCGTATTGGGCGTAGAGGAAGAGGCTGGGACCTACACCGTGGACGCCGCCAGAGATGAGGGTGTACCATGTGTCTTTTTTCTTGCTGAGGAGAGAATCGAATTGTGGGCTTTGGAATACGAATGGGTCTCTGAATCCTGTTACGTTGACGGCAAAGGGAGGACTAGGAATAACGGGGCCGAATTTGGCTTTTGTAAAGTTTTTGCCGCCGTCCGTGGCGTAGGCGAGTGATTGTGTTTCGCTGCCCCTTGTGTACCGGATTGTCCATTGGATGGGGAGATAGCTGACGCTCGTGTAGAGGAGCGTAGGCGTGCCATTGACACCCTTTTCAATCACACTCCCGTCGAAGACTGCAACGGGATCGTTTACCCCGCCTGCACGGATGAATGGCGCAGAATTGGGATTCAAGTCCTTGTACGTAACCAGATCGTTCGTCGTCGCGCCCGATGCTCCCAGGTGCAGATATCCCACATGGAAAAGCCCAGTCGCAGGATCTGTATAATGCATGCACGGATCTCCAATCTGGCCAAACGCCGGTAGAACATGTGCTTTGGGTCTCCAAGTTTCGAAGAGCGAGTTATTCGCTAGCGTAGAGAGATTCGGTGGAGCGGCATTGTAGTCGATAGTCGTAGGTTGACGGACCAGAATCCGACTTGTTGCTTCTGTCGCAAACGACAACACAACCACCAGATCGCGTGACGACGAGAACTTCATAGCTGCAATGGTAGTACTACGCTTTCACGCAGCGAAAGCGAATTGCTCGTCCGACAGCGAATGCACGTCCCCGCCATCCTTTTATCTGCCATGATAGAAGAGGGGAAACAAGCTTGCTTAACCCGAATCCAATGGGCAGCCTTGGCTTTATGACGACAGTTGCGGAATGTTTTTGCGGAGGGTTTTTTAACCCCACAATAGGTCCGGAAGATCGGAGGCGTTGCGATCGTTAGACTATTGGTTACGTAGTTTTGTTGGCTGACCCACCGAAACGAGTAACGTCCAGTCGTGTGTCGGACCGAGGGGTTGGTTTCGTTGGTTTGCGGGCGCGTTGCTTGTTGTGTTCACATTCGAGTGGAGCGGACGGTGTCAGTTGAAAAGTTTTGCTTGGCGAGTTGGGGTACATGGATAAGATGGTGTTGCCAACGAATCAGTTCACCGGATTTTCTAACTTGTTATCGTGTTGTGACAATACGGTGTATAATGCTGTATTTCCTTGGCGCGTAAGGACAGTAGGGTGCAAGCTACTTGTCTTCTGCAGCTAGGTTCCAGAGAAAATATTCTTTTGCAAATCTTTCGTCAATATAGGCATGGCAGATACACATAATGAGAGGGATTGGCTCTACTTTCGGTCTCTGCTCCAAAAATATGATAAACGGTCAACAGAGTCTGCTGGCGGTGGGTTCAGTGGGGTCTATGACCTGATTCAGGATGCCTGGAGGAGGGTCAAATGCATCGTTTTCTAATAAGTTGGAAGCGAGATCAAACACGTGTGCATGGACAGCTAGGTTATTCATCTGTTAAGCATAATACTTAAAACAGAGACATGGAGATTACTTAGCTGCATCACCCGACCTTGTCATACATTGACCTTCAACTTGGCACTCCAGAGAGCTACTCCCAAGCAGTTTGTAAAAAGTGTAGCAGACCATACAGAAGTCATATCAGCAGCAGCTCATCATATATCGGATGAGAGTGACAAAAGGTGATACACTACAAGAAGGTGAGGCTCCTGGGCGGTACAAAAATAGAGTCGCGCCGCGTGCAGAGACAACCATCGGCCTGGGTTGCATCCGAAAAGGATTTGATAAATTCCCAATACGGTACTGGATTGGCCCAAAGCAGTTCCAAGGTACTGTTGGCAGGCTATTGTAAGACGGCCAAGTAGGACGAGTCTGGCGAGAGCAATGTGATGATTGGCGGGGCTCGTGACAGACAGCTCGGTAGCATGCCCCGTTACGTCAGCCGTGCCACGCGTGCCTCTTGTAGCTAGCCCTCCCGCAATTCCAGAACGTGAACGCGTGCGCCGTCGATGAACTGTACCGTAGTTCACCTCGGCCTCGGTTCGCCATGGGGCGTCTCTCACCTCTCTTATGAACCGTGACTTCTTGCCGTGTAACCTGCGCTACTTAATTGTCGTGGGCATCGCGACACCCACACCCCACCTCGTCGCGCCCACTCACTCCCCTTCGCCCCTCTGCTGCCTGCGCCCACCTCAGCCCATACATACACATCCACACTCAAGCGCCCCCCGGACTGTGGCAACCAAGTGCGTCTGTGACCCACTTGGATACATAAACCTCACCGTCTTTTTCTCTCTTCAACAAGCCTTACCGGAATCCCTTTCAATCACTACCACCCATATGATCATGGCAACCTTTCGCGAAGAAGCCGCCATGTCGGACCACCCGAATGTCCATATGCGCAACCAACACGAGTACACCTACCGTTTACCCGCACCGCCTCGGATCGCTGTACCCCCGCCCACGCTTGTCTCCGACATGCCGGGCCTGGTACTAAGCGACAGCCCCGGTGAAGAGTTGGACATGACCTTTCTGAAAGAGCTGGACCTCGAGCATATAGTGCATAAGAATTCACTGCTTGAATGGGCATACGAACGGCGGAGACAGGCCCAGATGATCTTGCCCTGGCTGTATCTTGGACCCATGATGGCAGCCAAGGACAAGGCTTTCCTCGAGCGCGAAGGCATCACCATGGCCCTGGCCGTTCGTGCGCAGCCCAACAGTCTGGTGGGCGCAATGCAATCGGCTAGCGAAGTGTGTCTCGAAGTGGGCAGTATCGAGGCCCCCACCTTTTACGCTCTCACCCCCAAATTCCCTGAGGCGACTAGGATGATCAACACACACGTGGCAAAAGTTCGACAGCACACATTACAAACCAAGGGCGAAGCCACGCTCGGCAAAGTCCTCGTCTTCTGCGAATCTGGCAACGAGAAGTCAGCAGCAGTCGTGGCCGCTTACCTAATGGAGACACTAAACGACTTCAACCATATCAGAGCCATGCAGATCTGTCAGGCACAACGTTTCTGCTCGAACTTTGACGATACACTCAAAAACATATTACGCTCGTATTGGGATATCGTTGGAGCACGACGTGCCATCGCCGCATCACAACACCAAACACCACATCGAAATGTCCAGAGCAACGGCCATCCACAGCCTGCCTCGCTGTCACCTACACCGTCATCGTCGAAGCCCAAGCGATCACTCGAGGAAATGCGAGACGAAGATTTTGACATGGATAGTGACATAGAAGCATCAGACGCACTTCGCTTCACCGATCGCGACGTGACCCCTTTCCAGGACCGCTAGCTAGCTAACATGTCCCCAGGCGTCTGGCCCGTCTCGAGGTCTCTCTTTGTTTAGGTGTCATTTTTTTAGCATTATACCCAGCATGATACAGGGCGTTTGGCGGTTGGTGTTGGAACCTGACAGGCTTATCATGGTTTATGAAAATCAATCAGCGCACGTCACATGAGCAGACATGCGATAGACTTCTGTCTCAAGAACAGCGTGTAGAGCACCGCAGAGTAGGAATTGGTTATCGCTTCTACTTCATGAAAAGACTCAAACATTCAAACATGATTTCTTAGTTCTTGTTTCTTAAAGTTCTCTTGTGGATTGGTCATTCTAAGCTTCTTTTCTGGCTTGCTCACTCCTAGCACCACAATCATGTGCAGCTAGCAATTGTCGATCTGGTATCTTATCACAAAGCCGTCACAAGCAAGGGAAAGGATGTGTCTACTGCGTCTTGTACTATGTTACTTGTACATCTGAGGTCCTACCAATGATATTCTCCGCATATGTCTAGAACTACTGTTTATATATTTGTTCTGCATATCAGCAGTTGTTGAAACTGCTTAGTTTGTGATATTATCTGAGTGCTTATTCTCTTGAGGGAGCCACCTTCTTGTACAAAAATTACAGCCAAGTAGGGAAGCGGACGAAGATTTGTGTCAACCACCATGGCATTTTCGTCTGCATTACGCAACTCGCTCACTCATGGTATTCATAGCTCACCGCAATCTAGAAGCTAGCAATTATTCCCGACTTTTCATCTCGATCCAGATTCTCTATACTCTCAACTGCGGCCTGAGTGCACAGTAGTACCATAGGGTCTCTTGCGGCAACACCCTAAAGCAGTCCCTTACTCCCTGAGTCTACACATTTGCCGCATTTCGGAACGCTTTGGCAACTAACCATAGTCTACTTGTTGAGGTTACTATCAATAACATCATCGTTGCAGATCTGAGAGTGAATTGAATTATCTGGAACGTGATAGGCACAACGGTGACGGTGAGGTCGAGGTCCCACCAAACCCAAAGTCTGCAGACCATAAGTCACCCAGCCATATCCAATACCTCTCTTCAGGGACTCCATCAACTAACTACCATCATGTTACTCTGATATATAGTCGCTTTTCCGTCCATGGTCAGCATTTCGTACTCCTTGGACTGACGTAGCTCCTCATCATATCCATCAGTCCCAGCTCTCACAACTATCACAAACACCGGCGTCTTACTCAAACGGCCATCTCATACATCCACAACAGAGCTCCAGCATGGCTAGAGAACTAGCCTCCAAACACACGGCAGTCGTGAACTGGCTGAATCCCGAACCCCCTAGGTATCCAAATGATCCCCCAAACATCCTCTCCCTCAACCAAGCATTACAACTAGTCGAAAGCGTAAGGGACGCTGAATCCAAACGCCGACGCAAAACGAAAGCTACTCTCCGCCAAACTCAACAACCCTGTCACCTATGCGGCCAGAAAGGTCACACAGCAAAGGATATTGCTGAAGACGGCTCTTTTAAGGTACATTATCTCCTATCCTTCATGTCCCCTCCCCCCTTAAGACGCGCACCCAAATCTCGAAAAAGACAAACGGTCTAAGAAACCAACTCCCCAAAACTCACACTGCGCCATTAGTGTCCCACCCGCATCACCGACACCCAAACCATGTCAACCGAACTCTCGCGTCTACGCGCTGAATTCACCGCCGAACTAGCCACTATACGCCAAAAAGACGAGGTACAAAAACTCTCCCAACAACAAAATCAAAATCAAAATCGACAAGTTCAACAAAACATACACCACCATCCCCGCAATCACCAACAACAACAAACCCTACACCACCGTCTCCCCTCCCACCACCACCATCTCCACCGCGACTCCTACCTAACCGCCCTCCAAAAACGCAACCGCGCCCTACCCATCTGGTCCGTAAACTACTTCGCCCTTCACCGCGCGCTGCAGCGTAAATCGGGGCTAGCGCGGTTTGTAGATTGCAGTGGTAAGTCACAGTTTGTGCGGTTGTATGCAGAGGGCGTTGCGAGGTATGAAGAGGAGGTGAGGGAGAAGAAGGAGAGAGAGGAGAGAGAGGAGGAGGGGGAAGTGTTGTGGCCGAATGTGCAGGTTGTTGTGAGGTGAAAGGGGGGGATGGGAGGTAGTGGTGATGGGGTTGTGTGTTGGATGGTGAGGAGTATGTGGAGAAGATAATGTGACGGTGTTTGGGATAGTGCGTGGAGATGCTTTGAGGGTTTGATTGTGTTATACGTAATGCACTTCGGTTGGAGTTATGTCGAGTGGTCGTACGGTAATGCAGAGAAAGCATACTCAGTCAACAACCTCACTTGCGAACCCAAGTCCATATAGCATCATGTATGCACATATATTCATTCTCGATCCAAAAGTACCCTGGGTATAAAACTTCCATACTCATCCATCCCACCCATTATCCACTCAACTCCATCGTGGTTTTTTCTTTTCCCTCAGCTAAATTGATCTCCATGTTCACTATCCCCTCCAATCCTTCTCCCCGCAATCCTGCCCTGACTCAACTTCCACCGCCACCGCCTCTCCCTCTCCTCCTTCTCCCGCTCTTCCCTCTGTCTCTTCTTGCGCTCGTACACAGCCCTTACAGTGCGCTTGGTGCGCTCAGCACCCTCGTTGTAGTTTGCCCGCGCGAGATCCACAACGCTGTCGATTTGCTCGGGGGTGTACACAAAGTTCCATGTTGACATGAAGTCGCTGACCTTGGGATCTGCACCGGGCGCTTTCGGGTTGGCGAGGAAGGGAAAGTAGATGACAGTGATGCCAGAATTCGGGTGCATGAGCTCCCAGTCTTCTTCAACCTGCTTGCTTTCTGGCGATGCAGAGTCAGAAGTACGCTCTTCAGTGGTTCCGACCCAGATGTTGCAGTAGCCCAAGTCCTCAATCTTCTTCTTGGTGGGTCCATCCTTTTCTTTGGCCTGCTCGAGTTTTTCTTGGGCTTCTTGTTCGGTTTTCGCTTCGGCGCGGTCGAGGTCTTGTTGAATTTCTTCCATGGATTCGCCAGCGGGCGGCCAGCCTGCACCAACTGGCCATCCCTTGATCCCGCGCTGCCGAGCATATCCGTCGGCAACTTTGAGCCAGTTGTCGGTTCTCACATCGGCAGAAGCGTCAAAGGCGACAAGTATATCCACGTTGCGTCCTGGGCGAAGCAGGGGGTAGATAGGCAGGTTATTGGACATTCCGGCATCCATGAATTGGAAATTCTTTTGTTGAAATATGCTTTCAGGACAGGTCGAAGGAAGAAACTCGCGCATGCCGAGAGCATAATTGGGCATCGCAGCAGGATCAATGGGGTGGACTTTGACAAGGTCATCATCCCGCTCCGCAATCATGGCATCTATGCTACTGCCTAGACCTGTCAAGCTGCGCATGAGAGGACGAATTTCGCGGTAATAGTGTGATAGTGTTGCGCAGAAAGCGGATCCCCAAATGCCCATAAGCAGTGGGACGCGCACTTCGGGCAATGCTAGGCCGTTGTCTCGCCAGACGGTTCGGCCATTCTGGAAACGGCGGCCCATTGCCCATGTTGGTATACCGGCCGATAGCTCCTCGCACCACATCTCATATGGGGTAAACTCAAACCACTGAAACCATGCCTCCTTCCTCGCTTGCGCTTCTGCCTCGATAGCACTCTTGTCGTCTGACTGTTCGGCAAGGGGAATCTCGTGTCGCACGGCAGTGTAGATTGGGAGTGGTTGTGAGCCATTGTCGGTGAATCGTCGCTGATTTGATATCTTGAAGTCGTACTCGCTGACAGACAGCTCACCTTTGGGTACGAGCAAGCGCGCAGCAAGCAGGGCGCCGTATATGTCTACAAGACCAAAGTCTGCGTCTGGGATGCCCTTTGCCTTTTCTACGAGGCCGCTTAGCAGATACTTGCTCGTTGGGGCACTGACGAGCAGTTCAAGCGCATCAGGAGGAAAGGCAATGTGTACACCAAGCCTGTTCTTGAGATGACGAATCATACGAGCATGGCTACGTTGGCTGAGCTCTGAGTAGTAGAGTGTCTGCAACCAGCAGCTGCCGCTGACTCCCGCCGTGTAAGTCACACAGTCAAACAGACCTGCTTCCTTGGTGGACAAGTACGAAGATGTGCCAGCAACAAGAGCGCGCAGTCCTCCTCCAGAACCACACATTGCAATGACGGGGACATCATCGGGATGAATTGTGGCTTCCGGGATATCAAGGTAGCGCGCAAGCGCAGCCTTGGTGAAGTGTGCACGCTTCTCTAAGAAAGACTTTTCTTCCTGGCACAGCTCGTTGGAAACCCTGACAGAAGCATCCCAGACAATCTCTGGGTTGATTTCGGGATCATTGGCCTCGCGCCATATCTCTTCGGCCAAGGAGCCCGGGGCCATGGAGAGCTCATTCTGCAGCTTGCGGATGAAGCCGGGCATGACCTTGACCCAATTGGGTACAATGTAGTCAATGATGGTGTCGCCAATCTTGGAGGGAGACGGCGACTTTGGGAATTTGTCCGTGATGGTCTGCCAGGCGGACTGGCTCTCTCCGGTTCGATTGTCGCCCTCATCCTCGCTACCATAACCCTTCACAACGCGAGTCTGGGGTGGTGCGTCCTGCTCTCCTGACTTGCCCTCGCCTTCTTTGTTGATCTGCCTTTCGGCATCCCCGGCGGACGTCGTTTCGGTCTTGGCATCATTACCACCACCAAATATGTATCGCTTGAGAGACGGTGCATCGAGTTGAATGGGACGTAACAGCGGGTATGGAGAGTATGGAGATATCAGGTAGCCGGTGGCAGCCGTGGCAAGCAGACAAGGAGGGCCATAGCGAAGACCGAGAGTGGCTGCCCTGGACCTGGGAGACAGGGGATGGTGTTTTGTGTGCAGGCTGGATAATTAGCATGCGATGGTGGGGGGATGGATTTCCGGGTGGACGCACCCACGACGCGTCCCACACAGCCAAAGTTGGCCCAAATTGCGCGTGTTCCTATAGCCGGCCATGCGCGAAGATGATGGCAAGAGGGAGTGTGGTGTGAAGGCTTGCAAGAAGCATGGGCAATGTGTGCATGGGAACCACCCACGGCCGGGGTGATGGGAAAGACCTCAACATGACATGACATGCCAGAATCCCACCACCCAAACTGGTTGTGGATCCCGCCGATCGAACCACGGCCCGCATGTCGTATGCCAAGCCCTGCAGGAACATCCACCACCTGGCCAGAACACCCCACTTGTCTTTGCCCATTGCACGTGATACTAGCACCGGATTATTTGCAAGTTTGTTGTGGCAGCTCAATAAGCCATTGCTCTGGAAATCAACCCTAGGATCTTTGGAATGACCGGTTGTATAATCGTACACAACGGCCTTGTTCGGATGGAGGACAACAAGATGTGGTCAGTAACATCAACAATTGACGCACACGACGTGGAAGTGTCCGCTCATACACTAGTCTGCATTGGCAAAGATGCCCCGTGGGAACGGCTACCAGTAAGCGGCAGGTGTTACGGACACGGAATCAACTCCGGTTTCCTTGTTGCCAATGGGAACTATGTCGACTGAAGCTGGATTCTATGCAATGGCATCTTGATCATATCCATGACATATTGTTGACGTGTCTGTGCGCGTTTCACTGATATCCTTTTACACATGTACACTTTACAGTCGGGATTGGTATCTGCTGGTCGTAATCGGGTTCCAATTTTCCACTTTGATTTTTCTTCACAGCATGGACCTTGTAGCAAGTTTTTTTCCTGTGTTAGCATTTCGTACAGATATTCGAGTCTGTTGCGCGCTCATTGGGAAGACAAAATACAATTCCGATTGCGGTATAGTAATTCATAAGCGTTGAATCGACCTGCTAGCCAGGGGAAATCTGAAGTCCACATCAATATCATGAACCCCTCTCGATATCCTTCGATTTGCTTCTTTTCTTCCTCATCACCATCTTCGCCCTGTCGAGCCATTTCGTTCCATCAACTTTGCCACGTCCATCCCAAAACTTTGCTGGCTTCTTCCAAACATCACCGGCTCCTTTTAGTCCTCCGCTCAATACTAAGATAATCAGATATGCTGGCCCGCAAACACATATCATGACAATTGCGAATGTCGTAAGATTTGTCGATAATGGTAGAATGGACTGCATGCCAAATATGGATGTTGCAAAGCTAGCAGGCAAGAAAACCATAGAGATAAGCGTGAGAACATGGATTTTTTTCCTTGTGCAACAGTGGTACGCGTTTCAAGGACTGAAGAGGCATTGAAAAGCTGTAATATGACGTTAGCGCTTCAGTTCACCAGTGAATGAAGGCGCTAGGAAAGCACCTACACCGTCGCGCAATGCCCGAATCTCCTCCTGCTTGGCGTTGTTGTCTTCTATCATGCCGGCGAGCTGATTCATTTGTTTTTGAATTTCATCCAGGCAAGATATCGACGCAGTTCTAGTCACAGCCGCTTCGCCGTCTGAACTTGGAGATGTGTGGCTTATTCCATCATCGCCTGTATTGAGAAGATCCAGAAAAGATGCCTTGTCGTACATGTCCCAACTTCTAATAATCGAAGCAATGCACTCGTTGACAAGACGCAAGGATTGAAGAGCCCAGAAGTAGGTCCGTGAGTTTGTAAAATCTTCAGTTTCGAATAAGAGAGATTCTCGCACCTCGCTATTGAAGAGAAAGTCGTCCTGCCGGATACGGTCAGATATGAATGCTATAAATTTGTGGGGTGTTTACTCTGAGGGCAAACACTTACTGAGGGTACCGAAACCGAAGATATCTGATCTGCCACTTCTCTAAGACACCTCCTCACCTTCCTCAACTCACTATTGATACCCCAGTAAAATGCTTCCACCCCGTTTTTAATTTTCCCACCTGACGTATGATCCCGATTGCAAGAGAGGATTAAAAGTCTCCATGGTAGTGCAGCAGACGCATTCGCTCCCTCTGTATCAGAAAAGCTCAATGCCGCGGAGGAGCTTCCGTGGCAAATCCGGAGGTGCGGCAGATTCTTGTGGAAGGGGCCCGACTGCTGACCCGGATAAACATCCTGGTCTCCAGATGTAATATAGTAGTACTTGAGGGAGAAGAACCAGATATTTCGCGGTCCTTTCCAACCTGGATCAGGGCGATAGCCAGAAGATTTCCTCCGATTGATAAAGTTCAAGAATAGTCGTTCTATATCAAAGTGAGAGGCCAGACATGAAAGTAGTTGAAGTGTTGTAATGGGCGGAAGAGATCGTATTTGCATGACCCGCCCAAAGGCTTCAATGCCTTCTGGGGTTTTTTTCGGGAACCTATCGGTATTCTGTACAATTAAATTTCATTAGTTATCTAGGCATCGCGGGTTTTAGATGACCATCATCGGTACTACCAAGGTTTTGTACCTTCAGCAATGCCCACAATTCTTTTTTCAAATTACAACTATCATCCCGAAATAGGCACTCACTTGTCAAATCCCAGCTGAGGGCCGATTTATCCACCAAAATTCGGGCTCGAAATATTCACGGCAAAATGTGCGAAACAGAGGATGTCCTTTACTACTGTGACTCTGGGCGATACAAACTCGGCATTGGAGCCAAACCTTGCGATAAAGCCATTGTTGTCAAAACAGTGTTGATTTCCGGCTCCGTATATAAGGAGTTTGAACCTTGCTCCGATTTAGTCTGCGAGATTGAGGTACAGCAAAAAGCGAATATGGGTGCCTTCAGCGTCATTGTTAATGGAAAACTCATCTCTATCACAATATGCAGTAAATCGCACGCGGACGGTGGGGTTTCCTACTCTAAAACTAGCGTAAGACACTAACGTTTAACAGATATTTTTCAGAGCATACTAAGCGATTGCTAAAGAGGTGGTCATCGTCGGCAATAAGAGAAGTAGACCAGATAGTAGGAGACCTAAGACACAGCGGGAAAATAGATAAAAAAGCAAAAGAAGCGTCGGTACTACAACCTCTGAATCGACTATTTAGGGTATTCTCGACAAGGCACAAAGTTTCTATAAGCATATTACATATGTTTCAGCTACTGCCAGGAAGCGCGAGCTCCGCACTACTACACCACTACAGCCCGCAAAAAGGAATGCATGACCAACCACAGTCAATTCATGTGAAAAATAGCATTTGTATCTTTAGAACCACTATTTCCTGCCTTTTGTCCCAGGAAGACCGAAGATATTAAATGCTGTATATATATGCTCCTGAACTGGACTGAGCCGATCTGACCTAAAAAGGTACCAAATATATTAGTCAAAGTGAATTATCTCGACCCCTTAGGAGTTACACAAGGTTCGGATGGGACTATATACTCGATGCATGTGAGTGTTATTCCTCTGGCATTGAGGAACATTTAAGCAGGACCACCCACTCCAGTCAACACACTAGTAGCATTTCAAGAGCATCCACTGTTTGTAAAGTATCCGAAGGGCATCCGACGTGTTATTTGTATCTGGCCATGTGGATGCATAATAGTGTACGTCTAACCACTTGAGTATGTAGCTCTTCTGAAACCATGCATTGCGTGCCTAAGTCTAAAGCAGGTATGTGTTGCCGAGACAGGTAGTATGAGATGCAGACAGCGGCTCTGGCGGTGTCAGGAAGCGGTGACCCGCATTCCCGCTGCTACTTGGACCCTCTGCACACGCAATGCGTCTTTTTGGTTGCGTACATACTTTTTGCCGCAATGTGCCGAGACGAATGGGCATACGAGTGTTTCACAGAGCTGCATGATCTTCCCGACATGGCGCGGCATGCTTGTTCAGTCTGGGGGCGGACCACCGAGGCCGGACCCTGGTTGGGGATAGCAACGTCTCCACGACAGCTCTCCACAAGGACCCCCTCACACATCATCATACGCCACCCTTACACACTCGAGCTATTTACCGTCCTGTCATTTATCACTTTTAATGTACTAATCCATGTTCGCTTCATTCTTGCCCACCATTCTCTTATAATAGGGGTCATCCTCACCGCCGCCCACGCGTCTACATAGCCCCCGAGGTAGTCGCGAATCTTCCCAGCAGTCGCCATGGTCGCCCCACGCAGAACCGCGCTCCTTGAAGAGAGCGCCGAAGTCGAAGTGCTCTTCGCCAACATGGAGAAGATGAAGGCAATCACCAAGAAGATCCAAGGGTCCGTCAACCGACTGGATGCAAGCGGAAAGGCAGTCCAAGACGCCATTGGGCCAATCTACGGCAACACCCAAAAGTTGCAGATTGCAAATACAAATGTCGATCGCATCATCGATGCGATAGAGCGGCTCCGCGCGCCGAGGGAAGAAAGCGCCAAGGAGGAGAGGATCATTCGCGCTGGTCCCGGAAGAGGAGACCTTGACGGCTACATTGCTTCCCTGGACCGCACCAACCTCAATCTGCTGGATCTCAAGCGCACCAATCTTCGTTCGAACGAACAAGCCATTACAGAACTCAGCGGACTGCTGAAACTAGGCAACAAGCAATTAGAGGAAGTATTCCGGGGTATACTACAAGATAGCTGTAGAGAAAAGTTTCAGGCATTGGAATATGTCGCTAAGCGTAAGTCGATTACATGCTGTTGGCGGAGAGACTCTGACTGTGCATAGAAAACCCATTCCCGCGCATGGCGCAAGACAAGCTACAGAGCCTGCGTAGCATCCACAACCACATTTCGAAGACGTTTGCGCAAACATCACAAGTCGACCTATCTCAGACACCTACACGAAGAATATACGCCGACGTTAGGGGCGAATATCTCGAGAGCACATTGAGAAGTTTGATGCAAGCATCGATAAGCACGGCTCGAAAAGTGCAGGCTGATGCTCTCTACAAGAAGGGCACAAATGGCATTGGAACCTACGTACAGGCCATAGAAGGGCTTTTTGTAGCTGAGTTTGACAACCTCAATTACATCTTCGACAGGGAGGAATGGAGCGACGTCTACGTGTCGACGTGCCAGGTCTCTCTGCAAGACTTTAGTAAAACGCTGCGCGAGCTCAATGGGCACATCCAGAAGAACATTTTGACAGACTGCTTCCTAGGATTTGAGATTTGTGGTCTAGTCCGGACACTTTCCATGAGGCTCCAGAAGCAAACCGGTGCTCTCAAGGACCAAATCTACGACAGCGTCAAGCCGATCCGCGAAACATCGAAAACGTCATTGAGCAAGATGCTCGACGACACGAGGTCGAACACGCAGGGTCTGATTGCACTACCGATTGATGGTGGCCCAGTAGAGATTACCACACAGACGATGCGACGACTACAGGAGATGACCAACTACCTAGAGCCTCTTTCATCCATCTTGGCATCGTTAGGCGAGGGCGGGTGGAACGCTGCTTCGGCCAACAACTCATCAACAACACTGGACGTTGGACCTGATGGCATCAAGTTGTTTGGCTCTTATGCAGGCGATACGGTGGACACGCTGCTACAAAACTTGAGCGGCAAGGCAAAGATGCTGCTCAAGGGCAAGAATCTGCAAGGCGTCTTCATGGCGAACAACATTGCAATCATTATGCGAATTATTCGGTCTTCCGAACTAGCGCCCCTGATGGAGAACTACTCCAAGAAGCTCGCTGATTGGCGGAAGCAGGGCACGGCCATGTACTTGGAGGCATGGCGAGAACCGTCTGGCTACCTGCTTGATGTGCAGTACACGAATCGTACCAAGGAGCGGCCTACTTCGAGTGGTGCTGACTCGGCGACCATTGTCAAATCTCTGAGCTCCAAGGACAAGGATGCAATCAAGGAGAAGTTCAAGAACTTCAACACGAGCTTCGAGGATCTTGTGACACGGCACAAGTCGTACGCAATGGAGCCGGAGGTGCGCAACCAGCTTTCCAAGGAGGTACAGAACATCATCGAGCCCCTGTACAACCGGTTCTACGACCGGTATCGGGAGATTGACAAGGGCAAGGGCAAGTATGTCAAGTACGACAAGAGCGAGTTGAACAAGGCTCTGGCGAGCTTTGCATAGCACAGTGATTGTGGCGTTGGACGGGATTCTGTTTGCTTTGGCGACGCGTAAAATACCCTTTGATTTGTACATAGGCAGTGGTAGAAGAGTTTTGGGGGAGGGGGGATGGACGCGTTATAATCTGACATGGTCAGGCCACGCCAGGTGTATGACGGCCGTAGAAAATGCCCGTGAGGCAGCGGGCGTGTAATAATGTCCAAGAGCCGATGCTCGTGCCTCCTCATTTAACCGCACGTGACTTCTGCCTTGTGGAGACATGGCCCTTTGCGACTACCATTTCCAGCCCGACGACAGGAGCACAAGAGATGGTCTGCAATAAGAGGGCGTCTGCTGTACTGCTGCACTCTGCCTCTCTGTCTCTCTCTCTCTCGTCCTGGCAACCGGTGTATTCTGCTTCTTTTCCCTCTTCCACAGTCTCTGCTTTTTCTTCTATTTCCAGCGACACTCGACGCCGGCACTGTCTGCGACTGGTGACGCGGGGATTTTTGGTCTAGTGCACATTGCTTTGGCGTTGCTCCAATCGCGCCCATCCCTGTGCGGACCCCTTTCCTCCCACGCAGCGACTGGCGGCACCACGACTTCTCTTCCCAACGTCGCAGCCTCCGGACACCACGCCATTTTTCTTCGCAGCCTCCGGCAACTCTTCAATTCATTGCTTTGAGTGCATCCCTCACTCGACAGCATCCCTTACCCCCCAACTGGTACGTCGTCCCTGCTTGCCCGTCTCGTTGCTCCTCATTCGTCAACATTCGGCCTGGTCCGCGTTGTCACTTTTGTTTGGCACCGACACGCATGGCCAACAGCCCTCGTGCACTAAGAACCGCCTGCTGACCTCGTCTCATCTACAGGATTCCCTCACTTGACGATACTCTTCCTGCGTCTCCTGCTTTATTTCCACAATGGGTACGTGACTGTCCCAGTCGAACCACACTGGCTCCGCGACATCACCGCCAGTCTCCTACCGGGAGCTCGCTAGCTCCCTATGTGCACATACATTATACACACCCATGGCAGTACTATATATGACACCTGGCAACAGTCATGATAGTTCTATGTCACGGCTTGATGTCGCTGAGCTGGACAAGGTTGCTTTTCCGTTTCCCCTGGGCCCCTGGCTAATCACTTTGTGCAGAATCCAACGGTGCTACTTCTCCTGCGCCGCCCACGCGTGCCTCCCCATCGCCCCCGGCTTCTTCCAGCGGCTTCCCAATGGATCAGACATTCAACGGATCCAACCCTGCGGTCCACACCATTACGGCTAAGAACCCCAAGGCCGCTGCGGCCATGGCCAACGACATGAACATTGTCCGCAGAAAGCTTACTGGCTATGTTGGTTTCGCCAACCTGCCCAACCAGTGGCACCGCAAGAGTGTGCGCAAGGGATTCAACTTCAACGTCATGGTTGTCGGTATGTGTGACCTGCCAGCGTGTGGTATCGAGTGTAACTAACGTGTTGTCCCAGGCGAGTCTGGACTCGGAAAGTCTACCCTTGTAAACACACTGTTCAACACGTCGCTGTACCCGCCCAAGGAACGCAAGCCCCCAAGTCTGGATATTTCCAAGACTGTGTCGATCCAGTCCATCAGCGCCGACATTGAGGAGAACGGCGTTCGTCTGAGGTTAACCGTTGTCGATACACCTGGCTTTGGCGACTTCATCAACAACGATGAGTCCTGGGACCCCATTGTCAAGAACATTGAGCAACGTTTCGACGCATACCTGGATGCCGAGAACAAGGTCAACCGCATGAACATTGTTGACAACCGCATCCACGCGGTCGTCTACTTTATTCAGCCCACTGGCCATTCTCTGAAGCCCATTGACATTGAGGTCATGAAGAAGCTCCACACCAAGGTCAACCTGATTCCCGTCATTGCCAAGGCCGACACCGTTACGGACGATGAGATTGACAACTACAAGAAGAGGGTATGTAGCTTGTTTTTTACGAGTGGTTAGGACTGTATTGACTTGTCTAGATTCTTGCCGACATTGCGTACCACAAGATCCAGATCTTCGAAGGACCCCGGTATGAGCTTGACGACGAGGAGACGATTGCCGAGAACCAGGAGATCATGGCCAAGGTTCCCTTTGCTGTCGTCGGCTCCAACACGGAGGTGACGACGGTTGACGGCCGCAAGGTCCGCGGACGTGCGCTCCCCTGGGGTGTGGTCGAGGTTGACAACGAGGAGCACTGCGACTTTGTCAAGCTCCGCCAGATGCTCATCCGCACCCACATGGAGGAGCTCAAGGAAAACACCAACAACGTCTTGTACGAGAACTACCGCTCGGACAAGCTTGCACAGATGGGTATCCAACAGGACTCGAGCGTGTTCAAGGAGGTCAACCCTGCTGTCAAGCAAGAGGAGGAGCGCTCGCTGCACGAGGCCAAGCTCCAGAAGATGGAGATGGAGATGAAGATGGTGTTCCAGCAAAAGGTGCAGGAAAAAGAAAGCAAGCTGCGCCAGAGCGAGGAAGAGCTGTACGCCCGTCACAAGGAGATGAAGGACCAGCTGGACCGACAACGACAAGAGCTCGAAGAGAAGAAGGCGCGCATCGAGTCCGGCCGGCCGATCGAAGAGAAGGGCAAGCGAAAGGGCTTCTCGCTCCGCTAAGCGCCGAGACGCAGGTGGGCGGATGGGTGGGCCTCTTCCGCTCTGGACGCATCACGCCTCAGCCTTTGGCCTTACCCTTAGCCTCGCCCCTGGCCTTCTCACTTCTCTACACCACGTTACCAGACCTTGTTTAATATAATGCGGCCGACGATACCACTGGGTGCTATCGGTAAAAGGGACAATGCACGGCGGTGCGACGCTTGGCACCGCGCATGCCAGTGTCACGTCTTGGTGCAGTTGTTCGGATTGTTGATTGATACCAACGTCTTTGCGCTCCTTCCGATTCCCTTGTTTCTTTTTCTTGGCATTTTCCTATTTTTTAGTATTCGGCAGATGTAGTTCGGAGCGAGGAGTGTCGGACATGTTCGTTTCATGTATTCTACAGACCATCACACTAGGCAATTTTCATTTGTGGGTAAAAGACTTTGAGGCAGGATGTGCTTGTGTGTGTGTATGTGAGTGAATGAGTGAGTGAGTGTGCTGTGATGCTGTGTGCAGAGATGGTAGGAGAAGAGGACACGCGGACAGGGCAGATGGGCACCAAACATGTCATGTACACTACTTACTATAAGTATGTACTTAGTAGATATGGCATCCATGATGCCGGCGTGATAGGCGTTGCTGGCGGCTGAGGAGATCGTCAGGGTGCGGTTGGTGCTAGGGGCGCAGTGAGGTAGGTGCGCCGCCCACCTGCACAACCCAGAATTGTTGCTAGCCATGTCGTCACCCCCCCAAACGCCGACCAAGCCTGGGTTACTGCCCGCTTTCCATGTCCTTCTAAGAACACTTCCCTCCCCATTCCTCTGCCTTTTCCCTCCACACTGCATATTCTCTGCTGTATCCTGCTTTTGCAACACACATCACCCCACGACTCTTGCTGAGCCGCCGGACCCATTATCTGTATCGGTAAGTTGACCCCGCCAGTCAGCCACGAAGAGTATCATGAGCGGGTCCCGAGAGCCGGGCACAAACAGCTGTTCTCGCAGCACCCAGCCGCCCTTCCGGACACATTGCACCTCCGCTCTTCTATTGTGCCGCTGAATATTGTCAGCAATTTGGCATATTTTCCGAATCTCTTCTGGCACTGCACACTTCTTTCTTCCTCTCTGCTGACGTACCAAGGTACCCCCCCATTACGTAGCCCACACGACAGCTGCCACACCCGCTTAAATAGCAACAATGGCACCCCCACCGCCAGCCTCGATGCCTCTGGGCCAGCGTCTTGCTGCCCTTGCGCAAACTCTTCAGTTCGCCTGGTTTGCTGGACACGTTACGCTGCTGCTCTCTACTCTGCGTTACGGCTTGTCTTACATTACCTTTAACTTTTCCTCGCGATGGGCCTCATTCTCCTACCGCACCGCCTTCCTGTCGGCCTGCGTCACGTACGGCATCGTCGTCTACAAGGCATACCGTGCCCGCATGAGGGCAGGAAAGCAGAGCGGTGTTGTTGCTCTTGCTACTGACGAAAATGTGCAATACTTGAGTAAGTTCCGGGCAGTACAGCACCCACCATCAGTAGCACGTGCTAACTCGAGCCCAGTCATGGCCCTCACATGGCTCTTCTCTCGCCAGATCCCACTTGCCATCCTTCCCTTCTCCGTCTACTCAATCTTCCACGTCGCTACCTATGTGCGCTCCAACCTGTTGCCCACTATCCAGCCCCCACCTGCTGCTCCGGCCGGCGCTAAGCCCCAGGCATCAGCCGCCTCGGACGCTATCGGCAGGTTTGTCAAGGAATACTATGATGGCTCCATGACGCTTGTTGCCCTCCTCGAGATTTTCTTGTGGTTCCGCGTCTTTGGATCTGCCCTCCTCTTCCAGAGGGGCTCGTGGATCCTGCTCGTTGTCTACACCGTCTTCTTCCGTGCCCGCGTTGCGCAGAGCAGCTTTGTCCAAGAGGCCATCAGCCAGCTCACTGCTCGCATCGATGCTCAGCTTGCCAACCAGAGCACTCCTCCTGCTGCCAAGCAGGGCTGGGGTACCTTCAAGACTGTCGTTCGTCAAGCTGCTGATGCTACGGATATCCGCAAGTACGTCGGAGGTCAGCCCGGTGCCGCCCCCAAGAAGGCGCAGTAGGTGTTCAAATAAAATTATACACGCGACTTGCCTTGGCTCCAACCATGCTCGACAAGCCACTTGTTGGGGGAGTCATTTGGTATGAATCCTGACGAAGGTACGGCAGTCATGAATGGCAATAGACATGTTTTTGTTTGGCACGAAGCGAGGCTAGTCGAAAAAGGAAAAAGCGTTTGCGCAGGAGATTTGGTTCATTAGCGATATCCCCGTGTATGCGAGGCTGAAGGTGTATGGTGTCACGCGGTCTAATGCGGACGATTGTCGGAGAAGCAAAAGGAGAGTGTACATCCAATTCCAGGATGTTGATGGAGAGTGTGAACTCGTCCGTGGATTATGGACGACGCAGTAGTGGCTATTTCTTTTTCTTCTTTTTTAACTTTTACCTGGTCAAGAGTCTATGGTAGTGTTTGCGCAAACGCAGGTAAAATGAATACACGAGGATTATTGATATTGATTTTGGAGTCTTTATTGTGTGGTTAATTGAGTGGAGATGAATACTTGGTTGCCTCTTTTGGAAGAAAAGAAAAGGCTTCCTTTTATACACTGAAAGTATTGGGTTACAAACTATCCGTATGTGATGTTTGGGTCTGTTGCACATCGCAATTCAAATGTAGACAATAACCCCCACCCAAACGAACAAACGAACAAAGGTGTTTTTCCATATTGGATCTTCAAACGTGCATGTTTTTTTTTAAACTTTTGATCAATCAGCGGTTATATCTTCCCGACTCACTGGTTTCCCGAATATATACATGTATTTTACATCGCTGGTTCGGCTCCCGGCTCCATCCTTCTTCTTCGGCACCACCACCACGACCACCACCGGAGTTTACCAAGATTTGCATTGCACTTTGATGTACATTTCGCTTTTCAGTACCCGCATAAAGTGTACATACCGGAGCCAGCAGCGGAAAAATGAACCAACAAAAAAAGTTGCAAAGAAAAAAAGGAATAAGATGCAGGGTTCCGATTCCGGGCCGTGTGGGGAGAAGGGGGGGGGGACCATTACTTTCGTTTCTAACCGTGGTACCGTCGGGGGAACTCTTTTTTTTTTCTTCTTACCTTTTTTTTGTGCGTGCTTTTTGTTTTTGGCTTTTTTGGGGGGGACTTCTTCTTGTTCCTCTTTTCGGTGCAAAAAGAGGGGGGAACGGGTTGGAACGAGGTGGGCATATAGGATGGAAGTTTTGGAAGGGGGGGGAGGTATGATTTGCTTTTTACGGGGTTTGTGGGGGTGGGGAGGATAAGTGCGTGCATGTGTAAATGTGGCCGGGTGGTGGAGAGATGGGTACGGGATGTTCAAGGCGGAAGGCGAAAGGCGGAAGTAGAGGGGAAAGAAAGGAATGTATTGGATTAGGTAAGTTGGCGAGTAAAAGGCTGGGAATATAGGAACGTGGGTTTGTTTGCGATTTTCCGTGGGGGTGAGAAATCTATACATGGGTTATTTGCTTTAATTAATTATACATGTTGTTTGCATCTAGCGTATTTATCCTGTTGTTAACCCAGAAGGAGGACGGCAGGTCGCGGCTCCGGCCTTGCGGAATCGGATAATCATCAAAGAAGGACTTGTGCGGGATATTGTGAAGGAAAGGAAGAAATGTATTTGAAGAATAAAACACAAGTCAGTTAATGCCAAGTCTCCTCTGTACGACTCGCAATTGTTAGCCACCGGAGCCTAGATACTTTACTAGCAAGTCAGACATATAGTACATATACATTACCGTTCTAGTTGCGTAAATTAAAGGGATCGCACCATACATGGTCAAGGGGCTGAACATGTAGTATTGGCATTTGGAAAAAGGCCAAAAAGTCTGGACTTTGCTCAGGTCGGAGGAAACAAAGTTTGATGAGGGAGAGAGAGAGAGTCGTTGCTAATTTCCACACTCCTTTCAGCCACGGCGCGGTCTGGAATTGACTCGGGTTTGATCCTTTGCGGTGTAGTAGTATTGCAAGCGTAGCATACCAAATTTCGCAGCGATGGTGATGATGGCAGCGGGGATTCTAGATTCTCACAAAGTCTGGAAGGCTAGGGTTTGGACTTGGGAATAGGAGCGAGAAAGCAACTAGGTTTAACGCCACCGGCCATGACGACAGAAAAGACGTGTCTGTTATACACATGGTGGATGAGGCGTGTAGACGGACTCTTCGAACTTGTGGCATCTGCCGTGGAGTTTAGACGTGTTTGTAACTGAAACGTAGTCGTCTGGCCCTGGTGTGTACTAGGTGCAGAGAGAACTCTTCTAGCGTGCGAACATGTGGATAATGACGTATCCCAACCCATTCAACACGCAATTCTCGACGTTCAAAGACTTTCGTCAGACTTCCCGAACAAAAGGAAGGTGATGCCGTAGTATGGGCCGCGGAGAAGCCCGGCGGAGTCCAGAACTATGAAGAGCCTTTTTTTTCCATCTTGGGCGTTAGCTTCATCGGATTACTGTCGAGTAAATTGAGTGTAGCATGTACGTCTGCATATGCAGAGAAGCGAAGACTCTAGACTACGATCGCGATTCCTGAGGCCGCAACGCTTGGCGATTTATTTGGCAAGTGCATACATAGTACGGCGGAATGTGGCCGCAGGCACGAAGCTACTAGAGGTGGGTAGTATCGATAGCAATTAGGTCGGGCGCAGCGCGTACATGGCCACGGCGAACGGACGCACAGGCCGGGTTACAGTTTAACGACCTGCCATTGTGCTAAGTATGGAAATTTGTTGTCTGTGAGTTTTTTGCTCTGTGCGTGCAAGTATTGGAAAGCTCCACAAGGGCCCCGTAGCACTACCGGAGAAAATAAACAGCGATACGAGATGTTGAAACCGAGATGCAGCGCCGCGACATCCGAGCGCTCCGAGGCAAGTGACGAATTAGTCGAGTTTTTTTTGTTTGGCAAACAATAAGTAGCGACTCATGAGAGATCAGAACATGGTTTGTGAGGCGCAGGCCACTTTTCTGTAAGGAGAAGCGGGTAAGTAATGAGCCAAAGAAGGTTTAGAAAGTGCTGCGCCCCAGAGCTTGGATGTGGGGTTTGCGGCACACTTTGGTGAGGCAAGTCGCCCCTTTTTGTCCAGACAAGGCTTGGGAAGATGCAGAGATAGAAGGGAACCGACGCAGCCGTATTCGCGACTAGTAGCGTACCGCGCCGTGTGTACGTGCTCACGGGTACGGGACATGGCGGTGAGGGAACAGGTGCTGGCTGCTTGGATGGCATCAGCGCGTGGCGTGACGGGATACTTTTTTATCGAATGCTAATGCAGGGCACTTGACAGCGGGCATGGCCAAGGGCTGACATGTGTACATGTGTAAGAGCCGTATGTAAAAGAGCGGGATAGAGAGGCAGCAGGTTCGGGAATGCGGGTAAAGAGGGCGGTGGTGGCATGTTCCGCATGAGGGGTGAAGATGCAGATGAATGGATGGATGGATGGCAATAATGTGCTCGCAGTAGTGTAGCGCTGATGCATGCCATAGCTACCCGGGTCGTCGTGGGAGGGGTCGGCCTAAACGTTCCGGGCGGGAGGGCACAAGCTTTTTTTCTCGGGACGACGATTTGCGAGGTTGGATGACGATGCAAGGGTTGTGGTTGGCGGCATATTGCGTTGTAGTACCTGTGTGTAGTATGTCTGTGTGTGAATGTAGTGTTCGACACGACCGACGTGTACAAAGAATCCAGGTAGACGGGAAGTGAGCTAGCAGGCTGAGCACGTGACGAGCTGGATCGACATGGTCAGCGGCGGTGGGATGGAGACGCACATGGACACAGATCAAGATGGTAAGTGGTTGTAGTGTACGTAGATCAGCGTGGTGGATGTCGAGCGAGGAAGGATGCGGTCACGACATGGTCTCGACCAGAGGGTGGCTGCACGTGCAATCTGGAAGAAGGCTTTGGAGATGGATGAGGATGTGCTGGCTGCATGGGCCGGTGGCAGATGGGAGACGAGCTTTGCAGCATTTGCCATGGGCGGGCTGGCGCCATCAGCACCAAGCGTGGGCGTGGGGCGTGTTGGTTCGCAGCAGGTGCAGCAACAGCAGCAGCAGCAGCAGCAGCACACGCCATCGGGAGCCTTCTTGCGGTGCTGCTGGCCTGTGAGACGGCCATTGCCTACGGTGGCCCTGACAAGACAGGGGACCCGCTAGCGAGCCACGCTACCCATTCCCACTTTCACCGTCTCGGCCTGAGGCGAGCCCTATTACTCGGATGCATGCGCCTGTATATAGCTGCCTCGATGCCCTCCTTCACTGCGCTCCTCTCCCCGCCGACGACATTGCAAACCCGCCTATTTGGTTCTGTTTCCTGCCATCATCCCTCCGTCACTCGCTCGGAACATACACGCTCATAGCTACATACTATATAACAAGCCTACACTACATGCGCATGCACATGCACATGCACAACCCCATCCACGGTTGAACAAAAAGAGAGCAAGACAAGCGCAACCCAGCAACACAAAAGAAAAAAAGCAAGCAAACAAACCACCACCGACACAATGGAATTCTCTCCAGCCCTCTCGATGCACAGCGACATCAGCGACATGACCGACGAAGAGCTGGACAAGTACTTTGCGAGCTGCGTCCCACTGTCGAACCTCCCCACCCCTCCCCCGGCTAAGGAACCCACTCCAGCCCGGCCATCAACCCCAACATGGAACAGGACCTTCCAGACGTCACAGTCATCACAGGCCAGCACAACACCACCGCCCGACGTCATCGCTTGTCCAACACAACTTGGTCAGTACACCCCCATTCGCCTCTGTTTTCTCTGTACCGCCCGTTCTGTTTTGCCCAAACATCCGTCTCCAGTTCCCCTGGCCTAGTCGGACCGGGCGGCACATGGGACTTTCCCTGCATACGCTTTCTTGGCCCACGTCGCCTCATTGCACACGCTTGTATCCAAACTCAACATCCCAGCTCCACTCTTCCCAGGCGTCCCTGTCGATCTCCCAACTTCTTTCCTCGCTCATCCCTTTGTCCATTACCCAAGCCAGGGGGTCAACTGCCTTGGTTGCTGCTCGGCATTAATGCTAACGTACTATCAATAGCTTACGCAACCCACCTTGCCAACCTCGTCCCGCTCAACGTCTCCACACACCGCCCTCATGCATCCGTCATTCAAGGTTTCTTGACGCGAGCCGGCCTGCCTGACGACATTGTGGCGTTTGCAGCATGCATCTTGGACGGCTTGAGCAGCCGCTTTGCAGGCACCTGGAGGCATTCTCTTGCCACGCGTCTTAGTCCGGATGTTATTGTACTGGCCTCGCTATCGCTCGCACACGGCTTTCTCGTCGACCGGATGAGGTCATCACGGCACTGGAGCATCAAGGAGAGCAACGGTGCCTTTAGCGTGCAGCAAATCGAGGCAACCATGAGGGCCATACTCCACGACATGGACTACGGCCTGTCACGCATCTCCAACGACATGGTGCAGCGCAGGCTCAAGAACATGCAACCAAGCAACCCATCACCAGTACTTTCTGCAACCCAACCAGAGACTGTTGGCAAGGAGCCTCGCCGACGCAATATGGCCATCGTGCTGCAGGGCGCAGCCATTTGGCAGCATGGCGTACAGACACCAGAACCCAGCCCCTGAGCATACGGCACCATTTCTACGCGAAACGAACCTTGTCTAATTCCACATGCTTACATCCATTCCATTTAGCTGGCTCTGTTCACGATACCCCATCCTTCCGGCGCTTCTAACATTTTAATGATGGTGCGCATTGCGCATCCTTGGGCGTTTTGTTATTTTGGCGTGCATTGGGCCGGGCAGCCCCGGCCACGTCGACTTGTACGGTCCCGACAAAGTGGACCACTGTGGATTTATATATATATATATATAGTAGACGGGCGGATTTTCGGATTGTGTTCCTCTGTTATTTTGCATGTATCAAAAAAATACCCACGGTAGAGAGGTAGTTCAGTAGCAGTATTGATATTCGTAGTGAGCAGGTCATGGACTTGCAAAAGACAATTCATTGCCTTGAACTGTATTTTGTTTTTTTTACATTGTGCCAACTTGTGTCGTTTGGTTCAGGGTTGGTAAACGCGTTTAGGGTGACAATAAATTCTGGCTAGGCGCTTGTCACGTGTGTTTTGGATTGATTGATTGTTGTGACGACGGCGAGGCTGCAGACTTTCAACACTAGTCCCGTTATGGGAAGCTTGCGCCACTCTCCACCGTCAAGCCACATGAGGACATGTGAAATTACTTTTCGATTCCACAGCAAAACAGCATTTGGAGCCGGCCCGAGCTGTTTTCCATTGCACACAAGCTTTTGATGTTTCATCGAGACATCTGCAAGGAATACGACAGAGATGGTGCATACAATGCACACCTATAGTATATATGCGTACACACATATACACACACACACACACACATGCCCACATGAAGCCATGGTATGGAGGGGCATTTTGGCCCAAGAGGGGCACGTCGACGTCAGCTTCGTTCCAATATGGCCATGGGAACCACGACGCAACCACGCTACTACGCGCACCACTCGCGCCAAGGGACGTGTATGCATGGGTCTATTGGGCACGTCGTCTGTCACGACCTGGCTCAGTGGTGGACAACGGGTTCGTGGGGTTGCTGCTTACCCCACTTTGTACTGGTTCGTGAGCTGCCCGCATACAAGATGCATGCGACGGAGCTCAACAGCTTGATGCTGCCTGTCAGCAGCGCCTCTAGATACTGGGCTCCATTGCTTTCCCCGCGATTCACTAGCCGCCATTGCTCTTGCTCTCCTGATATATCCCATACGCCCTAGACTGCCGCCATGCCAGCCTGATCCTCACCTCCTCCCTTGCGTGAAGTCGTGTCACCTCATCTCCCATCCTCTCTCCTCTCCCCCATTGACCTTCTTCTCCCACTTTCCCCTCCTCCCCCCTTTCATCCTACCATCATGGCTGCAAACCCCAATCCCCGCGAGCGGAAGCCCTCAACCAGTGCCCCGCTTGCCGATCTCAAGGGACCCATTGGACCCGCCTTTAGCCGCCCAAAGCACAAGAGGACCGTCACTGGCTTTGGTCCCAGCGAGATCAAGAGCGTCGAAGCAAGCATCCCAGAGCCTCAGCGTGAGGCATGGAGGAAATTTGTAAGTCAATTGGCCTTTGACGCCAGTCTTTGCAAACTGTGCTGCAAGTCCGTATCAGTGTGCATACTAATCACCCCAAACAGATGCCCAAGCCCTTCTCCACCCCAGATGACTTCACAAAAGATACCGTTCGCCATATCGAGACGACCCTCGCGCGTTCGCTCTTCAACTGCGATGAGTCTGCCGCCTACGCCGGAACCGCCCTGGCCTTCCGTGACCGCCTAGTTCTCGACTGGAACAAGACACAACAGAGCCAGACATTTGCTGATCAGAAGCGTGTATACTGTATAGAGACCTCGAGGCATATGGTATAAAACAATTGGCTGACAGGACTAGACCTCTCTCTTGAGTTCCTCATGGGACGCGCATTAGACAATGCTATGCTCAATGTCGAGCAGAAAGAAACTGCCACCAGTAAGTCGGACATTCCAAATTGTGCAACGCACACTCTCTAACGCTCATACAGAGGGTCTTAGCGATCTCGGCTTCCGTATGGAAGACATCATCTCGCAAGAACACGACGCTGCTCTCGGAAACGGTGGTCTTGGACGTCTTGCCGCCTGCTTCCTCGACTCAATGGCCTCGCTAAGCTACCCAGCTTGGGGCTACGGTCTACGTTACCGCTATGGTATCTTCAAACAGGAGATTGTGGACGGATACCAGGTCGAGGTTCCAGACTACTGGTTGGACTTCAATCCGTGGGAGTTCCAGCGTCACGATATTGTCGTCGACGTGCAGTTCTACGGCCATGTCAACCGCTGGCAGGATGACGAGGGCAAGCAGCAGAGCTCCTGGGAGGGCGGTGAGATTGTTCAAGCTGTTGCTTTTGATGTACCAGTACCTGGATACAAGACTGGCACCTGCAACAACCTTCGTCTCTGGGGTAGCAAAGCGGCTAGCGGCGAGTTTGACTTCCAAAAGTTCAACTCTGGCGAGTACGAGAGCTCAGTGGCCGAGCAACAGCGTGCTGAGACCATATCGGCGGTTCTTTACCCCAATGACAAGTGAGTATACTCAAAAATTATCAAACATGTGACTGACATTGGGCAGCCTCGACCGCGGTAAGGAGCTCCGCTTGAAGCAGCAATACTTCTGGTGTGCGGCCTCGCTCTACGACATTGTCCGACGTTTCAAGAAGAGCAAGCGCGCGTGGAAGGAATTCCCCAACCAGGTCGCCATCCAGCTCAACGACACCCACCCGACACTCGCCATTCCCGAGCTCCAGAGGATACTGGTCGATATTGAGGGACTTGACTGGGATGATGCGTGGAACAGTAAGTCTCGAGATTAGGATGAAAGCCGTGTAAAGCTAACAAAATACAGTTGTCCAGAAGACGTTTGGATACACCAACCACACTGTCCTACCCGAAGCGCTTGAGAAGTGGTCCGTCCCGCTTATGCAGCACCTCCTTCCCCGACACCTTCAGGTAAGGTGAAATCCATCACTATCCTCAGACACTGCTGACATCAGTTTTGATCATCTATGAAATCAACTACAACTTCCTCCAATTCGTTGAGAGGACTTTCCCCAAGGAACGCGAAATGCTCGGACGTGTGTCCATCATTGAAGAGTCGCAGCCAAAGATGGTCCGCATGGCCTACCTGGCTTTGATCGGCTCACACAAGGTCAACGGAGTAGCTGAGCTGCACTCTGACTTGATCAAGACGACCATCTTCAAAGACTTTGTTAAAATTTACGGTCCTGACAAATTCACCAATGTCACCAACGGCATCACTCCGCGAAGGTGGCTTCACCAGGCTAACCCCAAGCTGTCAGCATTGATTGCCTCGAAACTGGGCGGATACGAGTTCCTCAAGGACCTCACGCTGCTCAACAAGCTCGAAGCATACGTGGACGACAAGGAGTTCCGCAAGGAGTTCCAGGACATCAAGTACGCCAACAAGGTGCGACTTGCACAGCACATTCTGGAGCACAACGGTGTCAAGGTCAATCCATCAGCGTTGTTTGATGTTCAGGTCAAGCGTATCCACGAATACAAGCGCCAGCAACTGAACATTTTCGGTGTCATCCACCGTTACCTCCAGATCAAAGCCATGTCCCCAGAAGAGCGCCAGAAGCTAACACCTCGTGTGTCAATCTTTGGTGGCAAGGCTGCTCCAGGATACTGGATGGCCAAGACAGTCATTCACCTCATCAACAAGGTTGGTGAGGTTGTCAACAACGACAAGGATGTCGGCGATGCCCTCAAGGTCATTTACTTGGCCGACTACAATGTCAGCAAAGCAGAGATCATCTGTCCCGCCAGCGACATTAGCGAGCACATCTCGACGGCTGGTACTGAGGCGTCTGGTACCAGTAACATGAAGTTCTGCCTCAACGGTGGTCTCATTATTGGAACATGCGACGGTGCCAATGTAAGTTTTTGTGCTAAAAATCTGATTACTTCGACTGACCTCTGGATAGATTGAGATTACCCGTGAGATTGGCGAACAGAACATCTTCCTTTTCGGTAACTTGGCCGAAGATGTCGAGGACCTTCGTCACGCACACATGTACTCGCAGTACAAGCTGGACCCGTCGCTTGCCAATGTCTTTGATGCCATTCGAAACAACACGTTTGGCGATGCCGACCAGTTCTCTGCGCTTGTCAACGGCATTGTTGACCATGGCGACTACTACCTTGTATCAGACGACTTTGCGTCGTACGTCCAGACGCAAGAGCTCATTGACGAGAGCTTCAAGAACACCGAAGAGTGGACCACCAAAACCATCACCACTGTTGCTCGCATGGGCTTCTTCTCGAGTGACAGGTGTATTGACGAGTATGCAGAGGCTATCTGGAACGTTGAGCCTCTGCAGGTCAAGAGCGAGCCAGCCCCGTAAACGGGATCTAGGACAGAAGGTAGGCAGGCCGTCTATTGTAGATGTTACAAGACTATGCAGCTAGAGTCTTAGACTTGTTTTCTTTTTCGTACACCTTACAACGGTAATCATGAATGAAAGATATGTGTCATGAACAATGATTACAGCCTGTCGCTCGTTGAAGTGTATTATAGAATGAATATGCTGTTTCCTGAACCAACTAGCAAGTTTTGACAGCCAAATAATATAGAATAAGGCGATAGTAGTACAATCCTTTCGTAATGGCAGGCACTTTGACAATTGATGGGGAGCGAGTGAGGACCGTTAGACCCTGAACTATGCCTGCTCCGAATCAAGTATAGTCCCCCACACCCCAGCAGGACCAGCTTACGCACGGGTCGCGTACTACGACGCGCGACGTCAATCTAGGCAATCTGGCCGCTCTGCGACGAAAGCTCCGCCGCGACACACGATACCAGTGCTTCAAAAGAAGCAAAACAGCGACGAGACATGGCGAATCGAGGATACGATGTTGTCGTTGATGTGGACCAAGAGGTACGTCTGATTTGAATGCTCTTCCAGAGCAACATGTACTGTACAAATGCGCAAGCTGACAACTCACTTCAACAGGGCGACCTAGGCCACACAGACTTGCAAGAGGACCTCGAATTCCACAGTTCCAGTAAGCAATCGATTCCTGCATTATACAATTCAACCCCCTAACTAACCCTCCCCCTCCCTCCAGATTTCGATACACAACCCTCCTCCGGCCGCGGTGCCCCAAAAATTCAACCCGATTCCACCTCGACTTCGTTCCTCCCGGGCCCCGCCACCGCCGGTGACAACAGCGGCAGCAGTGGAGGTCGCAAGCACTACCTCTGGTCCCTCAACTTCTACGCCCAAGCCTTCGACGTCGACACCGCCGAGGTCCTGCGCCGCTGCGTCGCAACCATCTACCCGCGCGCCAACTTCCTCGACGTCCTCGAGGGAAACCCGGATTTGTACGGCCCCGTGTGGATTGCTACTACCGTTGTTGTTATCTTGTTTTTGACGGGTACGATTAATCAGTATCTTGCGCTCAAGGGCGAGGAGCATTTTGCGTATGATTTTAAACTGTTGAGTGGGGCTGCGGGATTGGTGTATGGATATACGGCGTTTGTGCCCGTGGGGCTTTGGGGGGTGCTCAAGTGGTATGGGAGTGAGAGTGCGAATTTACTCGAGTGTTGTTGTCTTTATGGGTATGCGAATTTGGTGTGGATTGCGGTTGCGCTGATTGCGTGGAGTCCGTGGGGGAGTAAGTTCTTCTTTCTTCCGTTCCTTTGTTTCTGGGTTTGGGTCCGAGGGAAACTAATGGATGAAAACAGTTGTCAACTTTACGGTTGTAGCAGTCGGTCTTGCGTTTAGCGCTGCGTTTCTCCTCAGGAACCTTTATCCCGTGCTTAGCACTACTGAGGCGAAGACGTCCAAGATTCTGCTCGTTGTGGTCGTCGTGCTGCATGCTGGATTTGCGATTGCGATCAAGGTGCTGTTCTTTGCGGCTACGAGTCCTGTGGGACCGAACAAGGGTGCGGATAAAGATGCGGGTAAGGGAACCGCGGATGGGGGCTCGGATGGTAAGGGTGGGATGTTGATGATGCTTATGGGTTGATGGATATGTGGGAGTGATGACATGAGAGTCTGGAAGGGTACAGGAGGATCAATTTCCTCCATGTCATTTTTTCGTCCTGGGAAATACTGTTTGACTGACTTGTAAGTATTCTGAAAAAAGTATTCACAACAAACGCTCTTCAATCAGCAATTTGCATGCATTGCTATTCTAATGCATCCTACTTGATATCTTAATTCCAGACAAATTTCCTCCTGCCATTACAATTATCGTGCCAGCTCAAGGCGTAGTAACGGATGATGAAAAAGGACAAAAAAACCAAACAAACCACGATAAGAGACTGATGTGTCTCAATCTCGAGGATCACCAAGACCCTCAACCAAGGAGAGTGAAGCTTTCAAGCCGAAACAGCAAACCTCAAGAATCCTCATCCTTACCACTTTCCTCCTCCTCACTCTCCTCCCTCAAATCCGGCTCCTCCCCCCTCCTCAACGCCAACGCCAACTCATGCACATTCCCCAACGTATACCCGGCCCTCCTCTCCACACACCACTTTACACACTCGGTAAAGACGCCTCCATCCACCCCACCCCTCGGATGCATCTTCAACTCCCTGCTCAAATCCCTGACTCTGAAATCCGCCGCTTGAGCCTTCTCCTCCTCACTCAACTGCATCAAATCCGTCGCGTGGATATCATCCGCATTTGCAAAAACATCGCGCAACTCATCCGCCCACGCTTCTCCAAATCGCTCCTTACCGCGCTTAATGGCGGTGGTGCACTTTACGCTCGCCGTGTTGCGCAGGTATCCGCCTTGGATGGCGCGGTGCGCGTTCAGCGTGTCGCAGATGTTGGAGGGACCCCAGTTTCGCGCGTAGAGTCGCAGAGAGACGATGGGGCGTGCGAGGGATTGGAAGAAGTACACGATTATCTCGGTGTCGGTTAGGGGCATGAGCGGGATTAGGGCCGTGGCTGGGGGAAGCAGTTTTTCCAGGTTGTGGATTTTGCGCTTGGAGATTATGGTTGTGGGGCGGGGTGGGTGTGGGATTGGGGGACCGATACGACCCGGGGTTAGGGGGGAGGTGAGGGTTGTCGTGGTTGTCGTGCTGGCGGTAGTGGAGTGGTGGTGGTGGTGACCTGTGGTCAGGTTGCCCACAGTGAGTTGACCGGGGACTTTGATTTTCAGGTCTTTGCGGGCTTTGGTTTGTTGCTTCTTTTGGTTCTTATTGCCGGTGAGCTTGGAGCCGAAGGGGGTGGAGCTGGTGTTGTGTTGGATGGGACTGCTGTAGAAGTGCTTGGGCTTTTGGGGTGACTTGCATGGAGTGTTGGTGGGACTGGATATTTGTGCGTCTTCGCCATCGTCGCGGAAGAGAGATGCATGGCCAAATTCTGGGGCGGTTTGTGGTGTAGCCATGCGACTGCCAAACTCAGGAGCAGTTTGTGGTGTGCTCATACGACTGCCGGGCTGCTGGTGTTGGTACTGAGAGAGGGCTGCCCGGAGACAGTCGCGCTCATATTCAGCTTTGACGAGGCGTGCGTTCAATGAGTTGAACAGGTGTGCCTGGACGATCGCGAAGTTGTTGGCGTTTTGGTTGAAGGTGCTGAGGTTCTTCTTGAGACCGATCATCTCTGGAGCCATTTTCTGAGACGTGTTCTGGGAGTTATGCTGAGGCACCGACGGGTTGCGAGTTTGCTCTGTGAAACGTCAGTCTTGCTGAAGATACGAATTGAGAAGACTTACCTTGTCCGTTCATAGCATGGTAGGCAGGAGGCTGTCCACCGCTATTGGGCTGGTTAGTACTCTTTTGTTTGCAGACTGCCATGGCAACCGCCCTTGGCAGCAAATTTGATGTCGCTATGGACATGAAAACACTGCTCTCCCACACTCTATACTTTGCCTTTGTTGTTACTTTGCACGCATTCGATCATTTGCCAATCCGTCAATGATCGAACCTCGAAAAGCCAGCATAGACGTTTTCGGACATGGATTTCACAATAGATATTGTGCTTTGCGGAGAGGGAAGGGGTAACGAAATGGAAAAGAGTGTCTTACCGTGGATGTGGCGAGAAATAATCGGCCAGTCTGGCATCGCGAAGATAGTTGTTCTGAGCAGTGTTGCTGGTCATGCGAAGAGGTGGTAATCCGAGATTGATTGCTCGGTTGCAGGGCCTCACGTCTCCCACCTCGCCGGCTAGGACTGAAGAAGTATTGTGTGAAGGCTCTCGGTTCTCCAACATGAGCGACGGAGGGGTTTCAGAAAAAAACGAGTAGGTTGATTGGAGTACGGTCTGGGGAGACCACTCGTTGTTCTCTGACTTGACTGCGGACATATTGGTGGACATATTGGTGGAAGATCGGTGCATGGAAAGGTGTAGAAGAGACTCGGAGATGGGAAGTATTTGATGGGAAGCCGGTGGCGTTTGTGCGTGTGCGGTCACTGTGGCTTTGACTCACAGTCGATGAGGGTAAGGTGGTGAAAGTGAAGGGAGCAACATATCTCAGAATGGTCTGTGAATTGCCCGTTTGTAACAGCCATGGGGAATGAAGATTAGAAACCTGTTATCAGCGCTCCGTTTGTCGATGTTGAAAAATTGACCCGCGTATCCCGAGGATGGCTGGAGAAGTTCTTATTGCTCAGCAATGTTGCAGTAATGGAGCGCGCCAATACTTGTCTCGGGTGTTTGTACCATATTATCATGGCCTCTGTGGGAAGGTTATTAATAAGATCGTGAACTGTCACTGACGCCGGTAGAATATCGTCTAGCCCTATCCATGTATCCTTGGCTCTCTCGTGCATAGGGAATATCGTTGTGTTGTTTGATCAGAGGATTAGACGTCCGTTTGTCGAACGACGATTAATTGAGATCAAAATCGAATGTGTTGACCTTGGTCACGTTGCAAGCCATGGAAGCTCACTGAATACCCTTACCACATTGCTGGTTGGATGCTGAATTTATATGACACAGCTGTCATTTTTTTTTTCACTCACCTACAAATTGACATGTCAATCATTGAATATTGTTCTACCATGCTTCTCGCAGTTTTGAATTGTATCAGAGACTTTGCTGTGCAAGTGGGCCGACTACTCTTTCTGTTGCCAATCAATGTCGAGAAGATGATAGTAAATATTGAGCTATATGCATTAGTTAGCGCTTCTCCGTAAGAAAAGATATCCGATGAAGAGCTGGAGAAACAACATGTCGCCAATTCACGAGTATTTCCTCAACGTTTGTGAACTACTCCGCTCTCATCCATGATATTTGCGCAAAGAGACTTCACTTGTAAAACTGCAAAATTTCCCGAGAAGCCGACACGAAAATTCTAATCGTAGCCCTTATGGTCCAGGAATAACCGTCAGCTGCGCGAGTCAGAGCCAACAACAAGTCCAACACCATGGAAGCCTGGCTGAGACCCGCTGTACTGAAATGAGGTGAGAGTGGGAGGAACGTTATCAAAGAACAGCTCTCTGAAACTGTACAGGCTTACCATGAGAACTGGAGAGAATGGAAGTTCAAGGTGATGAAACAAGAATCCTTGGTGATGCACATCTGTAGCGTCCCTAGCTTCAAACTGGTGTTTCAATCACCATCTCAGCTCATTATTGAAGAACAGATCCAAGATGCCAGAAAGCTTCGAAACTAAATGGAACCGCCTGAGCCAGTGATGTGATTTTCAAGTATCTTGAATTTTTCAGGGACGAGACACATGTTGGCAAAGAACAAGAGGCAGTTAACATTTGCATAACTAGTCGTTATCGAAGCTTGGCTAAATTACCGGGTCAAGATACCGAGGCTAAGCTCGTTCGTACTTATCGATAAGACAGAGCTCCCGCGCCTCAGACACGGACGTCGACAGCTCCCCTACTACAACCTACCTCACAATGTCTGTAAACATCCTCATAGTCGGCGCTGGCGCCATCGGAGCCTTTTATGCATCGCGCCTCGCACTCGTACCTGGTACCTCGGTTTCGGTGATTTGCCGCTCCAACTACAAGGCAGTCAAAGCGGGTGGCTTCAAAGTCACGTCTCCTCAGTATGGCGACTACACGTTCACCCCAGCACACACTTTTCCCAACCCCGAAGAAGCGCGAAAGAGCGCAATCCAATGGGACTATGTCGTTGTGAGCACCAAGGCGCTACCGGACGTAAGCGACGACTCGGCGATATTGGAAGGCCTCGTTAGCGACAAGACTGCCATTGTGTTGATACAAAACGGTTTGGGCGTCGAGGACCCATATGCAAAGCGCTTCCCACAAGCCGCCATTTGCTCGGCTGTCACAATAGCAACCTGTGCACAGCCAGAACCTGGTCTCATCAAGCACAATAGATGGACGCGCATTAACAGTGGACCCTACCTACCCCATCTCGACACGGGAGCAGCCAAAGACACTGATTCACGTATCATTGAACAAAACAACGCTTTCATCGCGCTATTGAAGGAGGGGGGCATTAAAGACGCCGAAGCTTATTCACATGCGAAGCTCCAGTTGGTCCGCTGGCACAAAATCGCCATCAATGCGTCCATGAACCCAACTTCTGTGCTCATCCTTTGCTCTCCAAACAATCTCATGTCGCAAGACCCCGAAGTCCAGCGCCATCTCAAAGGCGTCATGACCGAAATCCTCGAGACCGCACCCAAGATTCTCGGCCAGCCCATGCCCAAAGAATTTGCCACCCCCGACCAAATCATCAAGTCTACGTTGAAGAATACGAGTGGCAGCAAGCCAAGTATGGCAATCGACTGGGAAGCGGGAAAGAGGATGGAGATTGAGGTGATCCTAGGGAACCCATTGAGGATTGCTAGGGAGAGAGGCTATGAGATGCCAAGGTTGCAGAGCTTGTATGCAATGGTCAGAATGGCTCAAGAAATCAGGGATCAGAAGAAGGTTAAGCTATGAGACCTTCTTGCCCAGATGTGTAGTACAATTAAGTGTCTTGCTGTTTTTACTTTCTATGTATCTTTTCCTATTTTGGATCGTTGATTGGGCGACGTTTCGCCCTATAGCCTCAGCATGACATTCGAAGCGAAAGAGTGACTGAGTAAAGGTAGGCGCTAAGCAGGTAAATTGGCAACTATTCAGGCAGTTTCACAACAGCAAAGTCAGTCGTAACCAGGTGCGACAGGTGCAAGTTCACAATATGCAGAACAAAATTTTCCGGGAATGGCAGCAACATGGGTATTCAATCCAAGCAGGGAAGCGTGTCTCTCGCCCTCAACAGTATAGCATGCGAAGAACACAAAACCCTCTGACGTTATCAACAGCGACATTAGAGCAACACTATCGCTCTCCCAATCACATCCAATATCTCTGCAGCTACATCAAATCATCGCCGTAATCGAAGATATTTGTACTACCAGCCTTGACATCAACTAATAATGGCCCCAATACTTCGGCCTATACCCACCAAAGAAAGGAATCAGTCTCCGCCCTGCTCACTATCAGAAGGCCCTACAGTCAGCACGCCAGAACCTCCAGAGGAGACTTCTACTACATCTCCAAGACCAAGTCACCCCGTTACTCCCACGCAGGGTTCTTTCTCAGTCGCTCAACCTCGGCATACACAGCCACCACGGAGTCCAGGGACTATTTCACCAAATCCCTCAAATACTGCTCCTGCTCTATCTGATCACTACAATCCTTCCACAGGAGGTTTTTCGACTCTTCTTCAGCCCCAGACACCTACAAGGGCCTCACAGGGGCATCTCTCCCCATTCCACAACTCCCTGCGCACCGTATCCAATGCTTCCTCTTGCCCAAGTACCATCTGCAATACTCCTGATGCCATCCACACCACTCCCACTGCTGTCAATACTTCCCGCGCTACTCTCAATCCTCCTACTAGCACCCACAACGCCCCCACTACTCCCACTGCTCCCACCGATGAGGAACTCCGCCAACGCCGCAAAGCACGCAGACAAGAACTCTGCGCAGATATCAGCGCAAATTATCGCCACTACTTGGAAGTCCTCCAACTGATGCCTCTTGACTGGCGTAGCGGCGAGCGCCCAGACCCGTATCTGCTGAGCCTACTCGCGAATCGGATGATGCCGCAGGATAGAGGGTGTGAGCTTGCGCTTGCGATTGCGTTTGCAAAGGAGAATTGGTGGCATTTTGCGACGTGGCCAGAGGACGTAGAGAGATGTGCGCGGTTGGAGTGGAACAAGAGGAGGAGAGAGTGGGAGCAGAGCCGGAGGGAACGGATACAGAGGGAGCAGGAGCAGGAGCGGGAGCGGGAGCAAGAGCTGAGGAAGTACGAGCAGAAGCACCGAGAGTGGATGGTAAAGTTGCAGAGGGAAAAGATAGAGACGGATAAGAGGGAGCAGGAGCAGAGGCAGAAGGAGCAGGAGCAGAAGCACTGGGAGTGGATGGCAAAGAAAGAGATGGAAAAAAGGGAGAAGGAAAAGAGGGACAGGGAAAAGAGGGAAATGAGGGAAAAGGAAAAGGGGGAGAAAAAGAAGAGAGGATAAAATCATGAGACACATAAGGGTGGGGAAAGAGTTGGTTCAGAAGTTGAGTGCTCCATTACTCAATTGTTAAAGTAAATTCAAGCTTTTCCATTGTGAATAAGAACAAATGTCAGTAGCTGTCGCTATGCAAACCCCTTGGGTATTTCAAAATCCAAAACAACATCTCCTCGCGGAGAAGAAAAATCCACAAAAAGATCGCTAGAAATCCAGTCGCTAAAAATTCCAATCGCTCGAAAATCATATCGCTCAAAATTCATGTCGCCCAAGGGTAATACCTTACACCCATCGCCAAACAAAACAAAACAAAACAAACATCAGATAGTGAATCGCCCCTCCATGTATCCAACGCCCCAAACACCAAGTATATCCTGAGAACTTTTATGAGAGAGATAAGAAAAACGCCGCCATGGCAGCGTGACATAGTAATCATCGTCCTTGCAAAACGCAAAGACGGGAGAAAAGATAAAGAGATAAAGGAAAACATTACAAGATATACCAACCAAACATTGTGGTCATCGTCTGTACAAATTGCAAGACGGGAGAAATATAGAAAAAACATTGGGAAACATTGCGACCAAACAATCAAAGAAAGGAAGAAAGAAAAAAAGCCCCAAGCTTTTACGCGGCCCGAGAGCCGTTCAGCGCATCCGCGCGAATAGCTTCCGTACTCTTCCAGCCCCACTCCTGCCGGGCCTTCCTGATCTTCTCAAGATGGCCAGGGAACTCGGTCCAGATAGATCCATAGTAGACCCATTGCTCTTTGGCGAAGCGGATGTTTTCCGCCCAGTCTCCCATGTCATCATTATCGAGACAGCACAAGGCGTGCAGCTCGCGGTACGGAGCGGACTGGCGGGCGTTACCGAAGCGCTTGTAGTGAAAAGCGGTCGTGAACATGTCGCTTTGGGAGCGGAAGGGGGGCAGGGCGTATTTTTGGAGGTTTTGGCCGGTGATTTGAAGGCGGTTGGCTGGGAGGTTGGGAGGGGCGAGGAAGGCGGGAAGGGGGTCGGCGGCGGCGGTGTCGGTTTTTTCGTAAGATTGTTCGTATGGTGGTGTGTATTGCTGAACAAGACTGGAAGTAGAAGAATTAGTGAGTGGAAGAGAGGTGGCGCGGTGGATGAGGACTTACTTGGGAAGTTCAACTTGCTGAGCAGCGGAATTGGGGTTGAAATCGGATGGTTTTTGTTCGAAAGTGGGAATGAAATCCAATGGGATTTGGTTGAGCATTGGTGCGGAGCTTAATGTGTTTGGATCCAAAATCGATGCGAAGTCCAACGGGGCTTGGGCAAAGGTGGAAGGGAGACTGAATGGTTGCTGGTAGTCATTGGGTACGAAGCTGAGCGGCAATTCGAACTGCGATGCATCAAAGTTGGGCGCGAAGTTGGGTTCCATCGGATCATAGCCGGGCGCAAAAATCGACTTTTGGTTGGCGTTGCATGCGGCATCAGTGTTCTGGCTGTACCCGGTTGTAAAGCTCAGTGGTTGACCATTCCCACATGCAAAAGACTGCTGAGTGTGATTGGGCGTCGAGATTGACTGCCAACCAAAATTGGATGGCAAAACGGGCTGTTGGGCAGAAGTCGATGGCAAGTTCGTCTGCTGGCCATAAGCAGACGGGGGATTGAGCTGTTGATCGGAGCCGAGGATGGAATTGGCTTTCTGGCCATAGCCCTTTGTGAGATCGGCCTTTTGAGGATAAACGGATGGGAAAGAAGATTGTTGATCATAGCCAGATGGATGATGAGATTGTTGAATATAAGTAGATGGGATGTCAAGATTCTGACCGTAGGTGGGAGTGGAGCCTGGCTGTTGGCGGTGAATAGGCGCAAAGCCGGACTGCTGATTGCAGACGTTTGGAACACTGGACATCTGACCATATCCGGATGCAACATTGGAGTTTTGTGCGTGATTAGATACACCATCAAGCTGCTGACTGAAATTGGAAGGAAGATTGCTCTGATGATTGGAGCGGGGGGAAAAGTTGAGGACTGGTTCACAGTCCAAGAAGTCAGTCTGGAGAGAGCCAGTATTGGGCTCGACATCGAATTGGGGAGCAGCAGTGTCAGGCTCGACAGCCGCCCGCTTGCCATCGCGAGCCTTGCGGAGAGCGGTGCTCCTCTCAACCTCACTTTGAGGCTGCTCGTTTTGCTCAGGCGCGCTGAAGTCCCCCACCGGAATGTACTCGTTGGCCTCAACCTCAGCAGGGAGAAATTCCTCGTCATCAAGGAATGCGTTGTAGGTTGCACGACCACGAGAGAGCTTGCGCTTCTTGGCAAGCTGTCCGAATGGTTCGTTCTCCTTGACATGATGTTAGCGGCTACTTGAGTTGGAGGTATCAGTCCTTGTACGTACTTCGTGACCAGCCTCACACTCTTCGGCAGAGTTGGTGTCCTTGGAGAGGTGGTCGTTTCCTCGCTTTCGCGGATTCGAGGGACCTGGCTGAGGAACGACATGGATAAACCTACGCGGTTTGGTAGGTTGTTTGTTGGTGAACTGCTTGTTTGAAGAGATCGGCTTAATGGCAGCAGACCTCTTGCGCTTGGTAGTTGGAAGTTTGACGTCGCCACGGCGAGCGAACACCTCCTCGTCGAGATGGTTGGGCGTGACAGTCGCTGGTCCACCGAGGTGTGCAGTGAGGCGTTGGAAGTCTGTTGGGAACAGCCATACCTCGTCCGGGTGCTCAATTGCATATTGCACGCATCTTGCCAGGTCGAGCGCGTCGTCTCCGGAGGGGTGCTTCTTAACATGTTTGGCCAAGTCCTTGAATGCTACCGGGCGCACCTCTTGGTTGGTAGCATGGCTTGATGCCTCCGAACCCTTATCCCTGGGCTGGGTCATGCAGGGAGTGCGGAAATTTGTGACATTCAGTCCGCTCTCTGGGAGGAAGTGGTCGCGTGAGAAGTCAAAGTGCTTCATCACGCACCATCCATCGAAACCTGCCTTGCGCATGGCGTAAGACATCATCACCAAAGTCGAGTTGGTGTTGAAAACCTTATTATCAGGGAAGGAACGGAACTCGTTGAGCAATGCCGCGGTGTGAATCGTGCGGGCTCCGTGAGATAGAAACCGGTTGACGACATCGATGGACTTCAACCAGTGTGGACAATAGGCTGTGATTTCCGCCGCAGTAATCTCACCAGCTGGGAATGAGAGATTCCAGCTGGGAGCCCCAGCACCAAACGCGTTGTTTCTTGCAATCGCTGCCATGATTGCTTCTGGTGGTTAATGACAACAATTCTTCCCAATTGTTGTCTCGAAAACTGAAAGAGATGGAGAAAACAACGCCAAATAAAAGAACGCCAAAGACTGTACCTACCCAGGAGAGGTTTCTTGAGTGTCTTGAGCGACTCAACCAGAGTTGTTGTGAGGCAATTGGTTGAAGTGGAAGATTATCTTATAGAGAGCAGAACATCTTGATAGCAGGGCGCTTGGGCCGGTATGGTGAGCGTTTGATTCTTTTATGACGACACAGACTGAGGCGATAGAGCAGATTAATTCCGCACGCGGACAATAGTCACCCAATTGCATCAATTTGGTACCTTGCGCGCGGCCACTAGTCTCCCTCCCCCTTCCCCATACAGGCTTCTACGCCCTTCTGCCAAGGCATTGGAGCCTCAAAGACGGTAGCCAAGGTTGGTCTAAACACCAGGGCAAACAAACGGAGCGGTTAGATCTGAGAGTTCTTGCGGGGAAACGGGCGCTAAGGTAGCGGATCGAAGATCACGGGCACCATCTTGACCCGTCGCTTTGGGAACCGTCCCTTTCACCTCCACGCGAGTACCATTTGTGGATGCCTTAGGCTCGCCCACGTGGTGCTTGGGACCCACCTTTGCCTTGTATTCCGTCAGGTGCAAAGGGAGTAATGATGGTTTGTGGGGTATCGGAGATAAGCAGGGTGGGTTGGTGATGGAGCTGGGCTTTGTTTCTGCAGCCCTATGGTACCTGCCTAGCCGATCAGGGCAACAGAGTGCAAGGTCGAGATGCACCCTGCATTTTTTGTACGTGGTTTGATTATGCACAATGAAATTATGCTACATGGCCTTTACAATGCTCAGTTGCGTTGGAGATATGGGAATTATCAGTGACTGATGTAGCTTTGGGAGTGTCACTATTGGCGTGAGACGTATGGTTGAGAGTGATATTATCCGTGATAATACTGTTGTCAAATTTCAAGGTATCCAATTCTGCAAAGGTCATGTCCATATCTTAGAGACTGTGATGCGCCACTGACTTGCGCGTAGCGTCGTCGAGATCCGTTCAGACTATATCGACCGAGACGCCTCAACAACGAGCATGTATCAGTTTTCTCACCGAAACGAATGAACAGATCTTTTTTCGCAACGAATGGATACGTAGGAGATGATAATTAAGATTAGAATGGAGAGAGTAGGAGGATACCAGAGCACCATCGGGGAGGGGTGGGGAGAGGACAATGACACTGTTAGTGACTGTCGCACAAATTGATTGTGCACCAGAATGGGAGACTTAGCAACAAGGCGAGGCAACATAGATATCCGAATAATTTACGAGAGAAAGGGCGACCAGAAAAAATGGAGTTTTGTCTGACTTGGAGAAGACGAGTAGGTGGCTCGACAAGCGAGACAAGTCAAGTTGGCGTAGGAAAGATGCATGGCCGACGACACATATTGCAGAGAATAGGAAATGAGAGAAGCATAGGAGTATCCATCAGTTTGGAGGAATACTCGAACACTCCAGCAGTCAAATGTCAAGTTCCAGTGTCATCGCACTGCCTTACCATACCGGCGTCTTTACCACTTCCACTGACGAGCTCCAGCGAAACATACAGGGAGAGCGGACAGCCCTCAGTTCGTATACAAAGCGATCTTTCCGCTTGTTTATCCGCGCTGCCTTGATACCTTAAACATGAGACTCCACCGCGCATCGCGCGCCCCATCCAACCTCGAAAACCGCCGATCCAGAACAACCGTCGAGTAATCACCCCAGAAAAGCGCTAAATCCCGTATTCCAATAGAGCTGCCACAATAAATGTCTCCAGCACGTCAGTCGCGCATCAGTCTCACGCTTATTCAATCTATCACTTGTCCTCCCCACACAGACACACCCGCACCCAGACATGACCCTTTACCAACATCTCCCACCAACCAAACAACCTCACCGTGCCCTCTATACCCGAATTCCCACCCGATAACCACATGTACTTGCGCAAAACCAGCGTTTTCGCACATATCCTCCCATCGCGCAAGCAAGTGAAGTCGCGACAAACTCCAGACCAACGCGCGGACGCGGACCAACCACACGCATCTTCCGTTTCAGCCAATCCGCACACAGTCTAGTCCGCACCACCACCACCGCCCCCGTTTCGGGGCACCCCAACGCCACTGCCGCCGAAACACTCTTTCATACACTGTCCCTTCTCATGCTTTGAGCGTACACCCTCCCTCTCTGTGTTTTTTCTTTGGGAGGGAGTGGGTCCGGTTCTGCAGCGTTCCGACGGGCGGTTGAAACGGCGTGTTCACAGTCACGTTATTCAAAACGGAGGGCGTGGTTTCCGGGACGTTAATCATAGTTGGAGAGTTAGCATCCACAAGCTAGGGAAGGAAGGAAGGAGGAGTAGGAGGAGGAGGAAACACTGACAGGTGCAACGCGTTTTGTGGCATGTAACACTCTCCATAGCATTGGTTGCGGATCGCTAGCAAGAAACCTGCAAACCGAATGAAGCGAGTCTGCCCGTATATTTGCAAAAAAAAATATATATATAAACCCCAGAACACTCCGTTTTCCCCTTTTTTGCTCCGCCCCGCTTCTGAGTGTTTCCTGCATCTTCACCTTGTCGATCTGTGTATGTACTTTTTTTTTATATTCTTCCAAAGTAATTTCACTCTTGTTACCGAGCCGGACTCAACGCCTTTACCATTTCTACAACATCAACGAAAAAAAATATCAAGGAAACGGAATATCTCGAAAATGCTCGCTTCAAGCTTCACCGTCGCTGCTATTGCGCTCTTTGCGCCCCTCGCTCTCGCAGAGTCAACGGCGTCGTCTACTTCTTCCTCGGCAGCAACAACCTCAATGTCCATGTCCATGTCATCCATGTCGTCCATGTCCATGTCCATGTCTATGGTTCCGATGCCCACACCGTCAAGGGCAGATGTTACTATGGCGTGGAATGATGCGCCGGCTAGCACATCTGGAGCGGCCATGTCGGGGTCCATGGGATCGGGTATGATGACCATGTCGGATGGTATGGTTATGCCCATGTCGACGGGCAGTGCGATGGGCCTGATGAACATGGGAAATATGACTGGTAGTGCGGGACGTCTGGATGTGGGTACTGGAGTTGCATTCTTGGGAGCCATGTTGGCGGCTTTTATTTAGGAGAATGTGGGGATGGGTGTATAATTTTACTGTGATATTTTCTTGCTTGGATGCGTGGGGTGGGGGATTGGGAGGGCTTTTTTCCAGGAGAAACGATTCATGGCGGTAATTCTAGAGTTGGTACCAAATTCATCATGTTGATAATTCCATTGAATTTTTCTTTTCTTTCTTTGAACTATGAGAAGACGGCGTTCGGGTTGCGCGAGATGTGCAGGCTTGCGGCGTTGATATCGCATAAGGTTGAGGTTGGAACAAGCAATCTGGTACCGGGTCCATCAATCCTAATCAACCCTGGAACTGTATCCTGTTGTCAGCTCCACCAGTCATATTTTATGGCTGGGCAAGCAGTGGTTATGTGAGGTTGGGGAAGTGGGCCGCCATGTCTCCACGCACGATGGTTGTGGCAAAATGTGGGGAGGCGGGAAGAGCCGTGAGCAGTTGGCCGACAGAGCAGCAGTTGCCGTCGCCTCCAGTTTCCTCAAAAGGGACCACACAAGTCCCACACGGCCATGGCTGCATGGGAGTGACTGTTTATTACCATGGCTCTGGAACTACTGTGGCGATATCATGATTACTATACCCGGTATGGAGTATGCACATTGATGGGGCAGCCGGAGTTGCCATGGCACTGATTACCGACGGCAACGTGACTAGGCGAAGTGCCCCCGAGATCCTCGGCTCAACACGCTCTCGCGCACGCCCCACAAGTCGAGTTAAGAGGTGCGTCTTCGCCTCGACAATCCGTCTCTTTCTCTTATCGCCTCAGTCTTTGTCTTTACCTTGTCATCCACTTTCTATACCCATCCTTCTTTCACACAATCACCATGGCTGACCGTCTCAAGTCCATTGTCAACCAACTGACGCCCTCAACCGGCGGTCTGGCGGCACTGTAAGATAACACGATGCGCCACTACAAGAACAATTGCTGACAATGTCTCGATAGCACCACCAAGAACCCCGACGACATTGTCATCACCCTCGCCATCCGCACACCTCTCACAAAGGCCCACAAGGGTGGTTTCAAGGATACCACACTCGATGGCCTCCTCGTCAAGACATTGAAGCAGGTCGTTGCAAAGGCCAACCTCGATCCCGCCCTTGTAGAAGACATTTGCCTGGGCAACGTCTCCGATGCAAAGGCTGCCTACTACATCCGCGCCGCCATGCTCGCTGCGGGTTTCCCCAACACCACATCTGGATCATCCCTCAACCGTTTCTGCTCGTCAGGTCTTAAGGCAGTGCAGGACATTGCCAACCAGATCGCCGTCGGCAGCATCGAGATTGGTCTGGCCGTTGGCGCCGAGAGTATGACCGTGGGTGGAGACAGGCTCGAGAGGCCCTTCGTCGCCGAGGTCCTTGAGAACCAAGAGGCATCCGACTGCATGCAGCCCATGGGCCAGACATCAGAGAACGTCGGCAACGACTTCAACATCTCGCGTGAGCGCCAGGACAGGTTCGCCGCAGAGTCATACCGAAGGGCCGAGGCTGCTCAGAAGGCTGGCTGGTTCGACGACGAGATTGTGCCCATCACCACTGTCGTCAAGGACCCCAAAACTGGCGAGGAGAAGACTGTTGTTCTCACAAAGGACGAGGGTATCCGACCTGGCACCACCTTCGAGAGCCTGCAGAAGGTCAAGCCCGCTTTCCTGCCCCACGGCGACAAGTCACACGCTGGAAACTCTTCCCAACTTACCGACGGATGCGCCGCCATCCTCCTCATGAAGCGCTCCACCGCCGAGAGGCTCGGCCAGCCCATCATGGCCAAGTACATCGGCGCCACCGTCGCCGGTCTCGCCCCAAGAATCATGGGTATCGGCCCATCCGTCGCCATCCCCAAGCTCCTCACCAAGTTCAACATTGCCCTCGACGACGTCGACCTCATCGAGATCAACGAGGCTTTCGCATCCATGGCCGTATACTGCCTCGAAACCCTCAAGATCGACCACTCCAAGCTCAACGTCCGCGGTGGTGCCATCGCCCTTGGTCACCCTCTTGGATGCACGGGTGCCCGACAAATCGTCACTGGTCTCAGCGAGTGCAGGAGGCAAAAGAAGAAGGTTCTTCTCACCAGTATGTGCATTGGTACTGGTATGGGAATGGCTGGTCTTTTCATCAACGAGCAGAATGTGTAAAAAATGTTGTATACCTTTTAGCAATGTAATATCTTTCAATCAAGTTATCAAGTTTAGTTCTGACATTATTCTTCGTTTGTTGTGTGAGATGAGGAAACCTAGTGACTTGTGGATGTTGTGGAGTTGGATCGTTTACTATGTCGTATGTGATGTGGCGAAAGTGGAAGGGACGATCCTGGGGTGTCTCCATAATAAGATGTTGTGCAATAATCACATCTCAAGGAAGAGGGAACGGAATTGCTACACAAGCGGAATCATACCATCCTTCACCATGTATGTTACAGCAGCATTGTACGCATTACAATGCACTTCCCATTCGATACCGTTTCCATAGCCTGGCCGTCGCATCGCAGCGAAGCTGAAATTATATAGATACATCCTAGTCTTGCCCTAAGTATGTCCGACATCAACTCTCACACTGACGTCCCACACCCCTATCCCGGTACACCAGCGCTGCACGCTAGAAGCGTGATTTGAGCAGAATATTCTGGCTATACACTGAGCGGTGAGGGGGTTTAAAAGCTTCAACAAAAAGAAAGTAATGGATTGGATGTGAGATGAGTTGTATGTTTAATGCGGTGTTGGGTGTCAGAATTGCGCTGAAGGTTCTCTGGTCGGATGAGAAGGTATGCAAGAGATGAGGTTGAGGTGGTGTTTATGGAGAATGCTGAGGTCGGTTGCGTGAAGGAAGGAGGTTGTGCTTTTGGAGTACGTGTAGTGGGTGTCGTTTGGGTGAGTGTACCTAGGAAACTAGATGGATAAGTTCTTTGGCTTGAAAGTCACAGCGTTTCTGATGGCATGCAATTGGAAATTTAGATCAAGGTGGTAAGCCGTTATATTCTAGTCTATTTACCCAACAAATTACTCGTATTTCTTTTTTCTTAGTAATGCCCGAGCGTTTGGGCTCGCACACTACATATATACATTAAACGCCCTCGTGCCCGCTACGCGCCAGGCGAAAAACGCTTAGTGGGTAGCACCGGGCTGCATGGCAAACCCAATTTTAACAGCATTAGGATTGGCAAAGTTGTGCATGATGTACTTGTTCTTTAGCCACGTGGTGCCGAAGAGACTGAAATCGACGCCACCACCAATGTTCTGCAGACCACCGAGGCACATCTTGCCCTCATTGTCAAGGGGGATGGAAACGAGTTGCGAACCAGGAGTGAAGAAATTTTGACCGGCAATGACGACGGTGAAGCCGCCGGGCTTGCTGTCGCAAGGGATACTGTGCATCTGTTGGTCGTCATCGTACTTTGAGCCGGGGACGGCTTCGTACCACGCAGTGACGATATCGGGGTCGGTGTAGGAAAGGGTAGTGGAGGCATCGAGGTGGATATACATCTTCCTCGGGGTGACCTTGGCCTGGGGGTCGAAAAGACTGAAGCCATCGCCGTAGAAGGCGTATGCAGGCCAATCTTCCTCGGGTGAGTTGTCGGTCCAGGCAATCTTGCCAGTATACTGGTTTGGGTCAAAGAATCCAAAGTCGAAAACGGCTCCGCCCTTCTTCTCGGCATAGGCAAACACAGGCTTAGCAAGCTGGCTCTTGATGTTGTCGAAGAAATTGTTCTCGTATTCAGGACCGATGCTGTTGTAAGTGCTGTTGCCGAGACCGATGAGGCAGTCCATATTCTTGTCTGATAGGAATGTTTGTGATATGCCACTGGCTGCGCCAATGGTTTGCTTGGTGGTAACACCGCCGATCGTGACATCTTCGACATACGCATTGCCGTAAGAATCTGCTATTTCAGCGCCGTCGTATCCAATCGAATAGTTAGAGCCGACCTTCTGGTGAGCGGGGTTGATTTCGTAGTAGGTGTACCCAATGTTTTGTTCAGGAGGCTGTGCGGAAGAATGGCACCAACTTGGTGAGTGTTAGCAAATACCCATAGTTTACTGGAAGTACAAAACGACTCACAAATCTGCGGCAGCAGTACCAATTTTGGCACGAAACGTCTTGCCGTTCTTACCACCAATCTGAACTGGATAAAGGTATTCAGTATCCCATTTGTCCCCACTCCATCCCCACGAATACCCAGTAACTTTTCGACCAGTGCTGCGAGCAGCCGAACGGGCTTTGTGTAGACGACGCCCGGCACTCTCCGCAGCCTCAATGAGCTTTGGGTGTACTTCAACTCCGGCTCTACGTCTGAGAGCGATTAACTCATTCAGTCCATGCTTTGGAGATCCGGATCCAGGTATTGGACTAAGCGAAAAGGTAGTACCGTCTGCTTTGGAGAAATGTTAGCAATAGCTCGGTTGAGTGTTCTGCACTGCGCAATAATCACCGAGCACTCCTTGTTTGACGAACCTTCTGGGGCAGGGCTAGCAATAGCTGCGCCAGTAAAGGCGAGTATGGCCGTAGCTTGAGCGAGAGACAACATGGCAAGAGTTCGGTATAATCTATTAAGGAAGCGAGGGTGGTGGAGGGGTGATTAGGAGAGAGCGCGAGATGGCCGTGGCAACGATCGACCATAGTGGGAACCTGCTCATGTTCTTATATGAATGGCCATCCTACGATATTGTTACGCAGTGACAATCACGTTCTTGGGCGGGCGGCATCGCGGCAACCATTTTGGTCAGTGTTCATGGGTGTGGACCGTGCCGTGACATACCGGACGTAGGTTTGCAGAGGACCAACTGGGCATAGTGCCAACGGCTTCAAAAGTGGCTGCTTACTTTAGCCCTTGCGGTGGCTATTTTAGTTGTCGGAGTACACACCGGAATATACAACTTCTGCTTAGGTCCGATAGTGACATCGCTGACAGCAGTACGCTGCATCAATGCTTCGTTCACATGATGACGATATTTAGAAGAGCGATGTTTGGCAATGCACAGGAGGAATTTTGTTTACAATTGTTACAGCTTAATTGGGTTACATTGTCGAACAGCCAATGTTCGTATCCAATGAATAATGTTGCATACTGATGTGCAATGATCTGAATGTTCCTACCAACCATAAGCTGACTCAAGTCGGACATTCCCGTGCGCTAGAATTTCTAGATTTTCGTGTTCGGCCTATTTACCCATAAATTAAGCCATTCCGTCCCTGCACCAAGCAAATTCGGGAAAAGCTTATTATCTTGACAGGAAAGATAGTATAAGGCAGTTGCAGGGGCCAGAGAATTGCGTCTAATCAACTCTTTCCTAACATCAAAGTTCATTGAATGACCAGTCAGCTGCACTTCCCGAAGAATTATAATTCTTAAAATAGAAGCCGTTGATGGGCGGTCAGAAGTCTGGGTTGTTTCTTAAAAGTCTCTATATCATGAAGTGAGCTGCGATTCTTCAATGGCCTACAAACATGAACAGGTATTGTTAGAGGAAGATCTCCTAGGTTGCTTAGCATGGCTAGGTCCAATCTATTTTGACTTCTCATTTCTACAAGCTTTGCTAAAACTGCTCAGTCTTTCTTAGTGTTCCATCTGCCGTGATTTCGCGGGGTTAGCATATGGACACGGGCCAGTAGCGTCGCATTTCAAGTCAAGATGCACGCTAGTAAGATTAACGGTAAGGATGGTGCTCGTCTCTTTCGTTACGTACAAAATAACGGCATTCAGGCCATCCGATGCATTCATTCCAGTAAGCTCACCAGCATTGATAGTCTTGTACACAAATAAGTCGTGCATGCTGCCAGTGCGGTACAACGCCCTAGATAACCAATCAAAACTCAAGATACGGGCTATTGCTATCGTGGAAGGAGTTCTGCGAGCACTGACAATGTTCATTGTATACAAAAACATCCTTGTGTAACCTTATCTATCTTTGCAGCGGCTACAGCAGCCATAAGAACAGATCTTCAGGGCGATTCGAACCTTGAAATATTCAGTCGGTTATTTCGACCCAATTTTGACCTTCTTTTATGATCTCAGTTAAGGTATGTGTCTCCTCCGCACAATGAGCACCTCTTTTCTAACAGTCTTCGCAAACACACCAATTTCCATTTGAGCAATATTCGCAGTGATAAAAGTGGAAGTCAGCCGCACTTATGGGCGAGGTACAGACGTTGCATATATCATACACCGCATCATAACCATGATCAGGCAACGATACTTTCTCGAGACTGGTCAGTCCACACACTTCCGATAAGAATTCCAGCACTTCACGGTGACTTTTTTTGGTAGCAATCCACAATGGCGAGCGCCCAAACTTGTCCGTGATCTGAAGGTCGTGATGGTACTGGCTAACAAGGACTATTGTAGTATGAGACTGGCCGCCGGCTGCAGCCCACCAGAGTAGAGTCCGGTTGTACGGATCCTGGAGCTGCGTATTATCGATTTTTGAGACTAGAAGCTCCAGTATTGAATTTTTACCAAAATACGCAGCTCTCTATAGTATGTTGTCGTACATTCCATGTTGGACTTTGATGCCGGCGCCCTCATCGAGCAGTATCTTGACTATCTGCTCATGGCCTTCTACTAAAGCTGCTTGTAGCGCGTTGCCGTATAATCCACCCTGGGCGTTGACGTCGGCGCCCGCGTTGAGCAGTATCTTGACTATCTGCTCATGTCCTTCTACTGAAGCTGTGTATAGCGCGTTGCTGTATAATCCACCCTGGGCGTTGACGTCAGCGCCCGCGTTGAGCAGTATCTTGACTATCTGCTCATGTCCTTCTACTGAAGCTGCTTGTAGCGCGTTGCCGTACAATCCGCCCTGGGCGTTAACGTCGGCGCCCGCGTTGAGCAGTATCTTGACTATCTGCTCATGGCCTTTTACTGAAGCTGCTTGTAGCGCGTTGCCGTACAATCCGCCCTGGGCGTTAACGTCGGCGCCCGCGTTGAGCAGCAACTTTACAACCCGTTTCAAGCCAAGCAGGCCTGCATAATAAAAAGGTAATGGCATTGATTGTAGGCTCCTCTGGAAGTTGGAGCCCTTCCATGGCATGCCTGGAGTATGAATTCGAAGCCAGTTCACATACACGTCGCTCTTTTCTGAAAGTAGGATTATCGCCTCTTGAGAGCACCATTCTGTCTGCTCGTTCGTCATTCGAACATGCTCTATCCAGAACATGGCTGAATAATCTGCCAGTCTGAATTCTTTTGCATTATTGTGGCTGAGCATTTTGACTCCTTGGAACTGGAGGAGGTATCCAAGACAGCTTCTCGCAATAGCGTCATGGCACACAGCAAGTTGCATGCTGTAGTGAGCTGCGGAACCTTTCTGTATTCTGTCTGATATGAGATACTCTTTGACTGAGTAATGTGCAAGCACTACAATCTGTTTTGCTGGGCCTTGCGTTTCGCTCTCCTCCGTACTTATAGTAACCATGCTAGAACAGATGTTCAACACATCCAACGGATCTTCGAGAACCTCATCACGATCGAATGTGGCTTCATCATCCAAATTGATCGCAACGATTTCAGCGACTTCGCCCAGTGATAGCGGCCGAGCTGCAAACGTCAGCCACCGTAAAATAGTGATGGCATACCGCGAATCATCTTCGCTGATTGCGGACAGAATACGATCATATGTCTTGTCAAGCGTTGGTGGAAGCGTTACAAGCGCTCTCCGTAGCGCTGCCCGAGTGCGACATTTCGCCAACGTGTCCAGCTGGCAGACGGCCCATCGAAACCTGCAAGTACCATTAGTCTTCAGTGTTTACATGGACATAAGGTGTGATACGTACATTCCTTGCGCTCCTTTAACCAGAGTAGTCTCGATATCCTGCCTCACGGTAGGGTCTTTTTCCCACCGATTGAAGTCCTTGTCGTTGGATAGTCGCTGCTGTACGTATTTCTGTATATCTTTGTCCACTCGTTCACTCTGGAGGCATATATGACTCTGCTCATATATGAAAATCTCTAAAGAACTCTGTATATCTCGTTCTTTGCGGCTCGTTAGGAGCATATGTGTATTCTCAAGCTGCCAGGCAGACATAGTCTTCAGGATGTCCATTAGCTCCGTTCGCCCAGAACACTCGTCAAGCGCATCAAATATTATGTAGACGCATGGGAACTCCCGCATTATGTGTTGTAACGCTTCTAAGAGCGCGTGTAGCGAGGGCTGCCGCTTCCCGTCATCGCAAGAAGAAAACAGCGTGTCAAGGCTCGCGGGGATCGTAACGCACTGTTGTGAAAGCTGGCAGATTACGGAGCGCACCATAAGCTCAGCGCTTTGCTTCTGGATATCGTTGAAGTCAAAGAAGAAGTATGCGACGACTCTGCCAGGGTCACCTTCGCAGTGCTGAAGCACATTTTGGAGAATAGCTGAGCCGAGGATAGTTTTGCCACACCCTGGAATGCCATGCAGCCAAAGGAAAGATGCCATGCTTTTCTTCCACTCGGCATACTGGTCATTCTCGAGAAACCAAAGCCCGGTATCTTCTTGGCGTTGCTTGAGTGCTTTTTGGTAGTTCGTAGAAGGATCTGGTGCAGCTAGCCACTGGCGTATCTTGATAAGTTTCGCATCTGCACAATACGATCAGTCGGAGTTACACAAGCCTCTTATTAGACATTAACCTTTTAGCGGTTGTATGGCAGATAATGTGACAGTGTGGTAGAATGTTAGCGTCGCAATGTAGTTTCGTAAGATTTTTGTAGTGTTCTCAACTTTGTCCTCCCGTTGCAGGCTTCCTATCGCCTTCTTGCTCTTTGCCAACCACTTGTCATCAGCAGTCGGCAACGTCTTCACAATGATAGCGTCTAGTTGGGCTATCTGTTCGTGGCACTTACTGACTACCAATAGCAGAGCAGCTTCGAGTTTGGAATCTGCTGGGTTTACCTTCAGATTTTGACAAATGCTCTCTAGTGTAGTGCTTAGAACAGGCAACTCAGAGCTGACATGGCGAAGGGATATCGGCAGTTCTTCTACAAGAGAATGGAACTCCTTGAGGCGAAGGATGACTTTGGCGCTGAAATCGACGAGCTGAGCTATACTGGCGACAACCCCAACAGCAGCGAGACCTTCGGCCATTTTTGCGCAGTCCAACCCATTCGCACAACCCCGTGGGCCACGAGTAGTGCGAAGCTAAGGTACTTGCAAATGAAAATAATAAATTTGGGGGGCTAATCTAGTTTATGGTGTGCAGTAGAAGCGCATGCAAGGAGGTATTTCTTGGTGAAGAAAGCGACGATATTGACGAAGGCTGAAGGAAGGCTGAAGGAAGGCTGAAGCAATGTTCAAGCTGCACTTCTTGGCGCTCACGTGGCGGACTCACGTGTATCAGGGTACGTAGCAAACACCGTCACAATCGCCCTATACAATCCTTGAGCTACGGATATCTTTAGAAGTGTGTCTGTCATAAGGATATCATACGCGTATGCAGTAGGTGCGCTGATAAGTACGGGCTCTGGTCAAATCCCATGATTTTACGATCAGTGTATGCTCCAGAGCTAGGTAAATATTCTTTGTTAGTACGTAGCGCTTCGTTTCTGACCCTACGAAACGTGGCAAAGTTATCTCGGTCACAAGTGAACAGAGGGTTGTATCAGAAGGATCGATTGTCTACGTTTAATGATCGACAACATGACCAATATTGCAATGATGCTTTTCGAAGACTTTATTTCTCATTAAAAGAGGACGGTAGAATCTTATCGTATTTTCCAAAGATTTGCACATCGATAGGAAAAGGAGTCGAGAGGCCGGGTTGGAAGCTATCACTGCACAGCAGGTGTCTCTCGACGCAGGGACGGACCTTGCATTATTCTAGATGATCGTACATATTTTCTGAGTTCACGGCAGAATATATTGGTCTCACTCCACCCCGGTAGACTTGGCAGTGGATCAGTCCACATGGCGGGTTAGTGTCGACATTTTTGGCGGCGCCAAGCTGTTATACCTTTGGTAATAGTCAACCTTTACCAATTGTGAAGATGGCATTATATTGCTGACCCGATAGTATGAAATGTTGGAAAGATGGATATATTGAGGTGCTTTGCAACGTGTTTGTGGGTTGATTGTTCCTTTCAATGACATTGTGAAGGAATTGATTAGGAACGAGTAGCGACGAATGAGTTACATGTGTCTTTTGGTCAAGAGTTTGTGCTTCAGGAAGCTTTGTCAATCATTTTCTAGTTGGAGTTGAATGCATAGACCGCGTGCTTTGTAGAACACGACAAGCCGGTTAAACAAGCCATATGGTGAATTCGAGGCACGGAAAGTGACTTAGATAACATTGGATATGTGGTATTGATGATATAATATATACAAAAAATAGACCAAGGCAGGAAGTAGATTACATCTGAATCGTACAATGGTGGATGACCAAAATTCTTAGACTCCCATGCGTTAGAATTGTAGTTATTTGTTGCCGTTGTATGCCAACAGATTGACTGAGCCCATTGTGTCTGTCACAACACCAGGCGTGCCCAGTTGGTACACCCTTGCCTTAACGGCCGCCGCAGTCGAAGGTCCCTCGAGACCACGGAGGTATGAGACCAGACCAGCTACGTGAGGAGATGCCATGGAGGTACCGTTCTTAACTGTCGATCCTGTGTCGCTCAGATGGGATGCTGAGACGATGAGGGTGCCTGCAGCAAAAATATCCACTTCAGGGCCGTAATTGGAGCCTCCTCCGCCGCCGAGCCTCCTGTTGTTGCTCTGGACGTTTCCGACACAGATGACTTCAGGAGAGCGGCATGGTGAACGATCGAAGGTGGGTTGGTTTTCGTTTCCTGCTGCTACTACCATGCTTACACCTTTGTTCCAAGCTGCAGTAAGGGCATTGTCCCACGTTGTAGAGGCAGTTGAACCAAGCGACATGTTGATGACGGCAGTGTTTTGTCGGTTCTTCGAGACAATGTCGTTGACCGTCCAGTCAAATCCTGCGAAGACATCTGATGCAGATCCTGTGCTTCCGCCTATAACCTTGACACCTATGATTGTCGTCTTCTTGGCAACACCAAACGTGGTACCACCAAGTGTTCCAGCAACGTGACTAAGTTATGTCAGAAGGGTATAGTCACTGTGAGATGGAGTGTGGCTTACGTTCCATGACCCCCTTCATCAGTATCAGGACTGTTTCTTACGGCATTGAATCCCCAGATGGCTCGTCCGCCGAAGTCCTGGTGGGTGATACGAACACCAGTGTCTTGATAGTATATCAATATCAGATCAAGATCTGCATGATGTTTTTGACTTACCTATTACATAGGAAAAGGTGCCCTGGCCCGCACTGTTGTCGTAGACATAAGAGGTGGCTCCTGGCGTGCGGGAGGAGATGCTAGCAAGGCCCCATGGTGGGTTTGCCTGAGACACAATTGCGCTAGTTCTCACAATGAAATCTGGCTCAACTACAAGGACCTAACAACTGTGTCAGTATTGCTACCTTGTGTCATTGTATGGTAGAACCTGTATTACCTCTGGCAGAGTCTTCAACTCTTCGATGGTTGCTTCATCGAAAGACCCAGCATAGCCTTTGAAGTCGCCGAAGCCGTACTCGCGCTCTACTGGCTCACCAGCAGGAGCATTGTCACTTCGTCGAGCCAGGTTGCGGGCATGTATGCTGCGCACTTTATTATGGTGAGCAGCGACCGCCGCAATATCGGTGTCAGGCTTCAACTGGATGATGTATCTTCCAGGAATAATGTCATCCGTTGGAGGTGCTGCGACAGGAGCAGCAAGAGCAACGAATGGAGCTGCGGCTGTGACCAGCGCGGTAAAACGAGTGAAGAAGCGCATTGTGAACGAAGGCAAGGCGTGTAGACCAGAGGCGACTTACCCACCACTGCTGGACTACATGCGCTTTTTGACTTGCACCATTGCCGTTGTCGCATAGACCATTGTAATTGGGACAAGTCACAAATCCAAGCGGGTCTTATCGTTTCTTAACTTCTGCCTTCTTAGGTATAGGATCTGCAATACTATTCGTATAGCTTAATAAAATCCCCCGAGTCATGGGTGGCCAAGGCATTGCGTAAGGGGTGTTTAGGAAATAATAGGAATGTGGGAAGGCGAAAACCCCGGTTCTCTCGGCCAACACCTGCCAATTTGAGGACCTTAACCGTAGTAAGTACGGGAGGCGACGGATCCGGGAACCAGCGTCGCGTTTTGTGGGCCCGTCTTGGGATTTTCTCTGCTGAATTAAGTCTTGGGAGATCTATGCCAGTGATTTTAAAATTAGAAAAGGGAGTCCATGAGACGATCTACAACGTTCAAGCGCACTGAAAGCAAACATCAGTCGATGTAAACCCCCTGGTATCGGTTATGTTACAAGGCCAAGGAGCATGGGGGCCTGTGCTCCACCCTAAACCATATTTAGACAAAGTTTGGAGAGCAATTATTCTTATTGCCTTAAAAAAGGCCAATCGGAGGAACGATCCTATCGTCTTTTGGCCAGCGATCAGTTTTCAAGCGGGAGCCATTGATTAGGCTAGGCTTCTTGTGATGAAAGTCACTTTGTATACCAAAGGTGACCATATGCAAGATTGATCTCTTTGTGGGTACAGTGTTCTGCGCACTGATCATTGTTGTATTTTTCTCTCATCTCTTATGCAAACAATCTTAACTATCCAAAAATACGTTACTTGCTCCATATGACATGTTTTAGTAGCCGTGTTGGTTTGTGTAATTTAAGACTAAATACGTGTCCCACTTAATACCAGTTTTCCGTCACCCAAATATGGAACTTACCCAAAGCAGTATTCAAGCAGTAAAAAAGCCATGCTTTTTTATTGAGACGTGATTGGTTATCATGAAACTGTGGAGGCAGCAAACAACAGCCTTATGCGGGGTAGGCTGAATCTCTTATGCTAGAACTTACTGTCATGCTATATCTTTCTACCCTCGCAACTTTCTACATTTTTTCACTGAATACCACTATGCGACTGCTGCGGCTTGATCGTGATAAACGCAAGTGGATCCTTGAGTGGTTCTCGGGGGGAGAAACTCCAGTCTATGCGATACTGTCCCATACTTGGGGCCGCAGTGATGATGAGGTTCAATTCGAGGATATTCAAGGTGGGCAGAAAGACTATTGTGATAATAGCAAACCGGGATACGAAAAACTGCGCTTTTGTCAAGAGAAAACGGTGGCAGATGGTCTAACATACTTCTGGATCGACACCTGCTGCATCAACAAGTCATCCAGCGCCGAACTGCAGCGTTCACTGGCCTCTATGTTCTACTGGTATCGAAATTCCGCCAGATGCTACGTGTATCTCTCTGATATATCCGTTCACGAATCTACAGAAGGTTCTGATATGAAATGGGAATATGCGTTCTCGAAGAGCAGATGGTTCAAACGTAGTTGGACGCTTCAAGAACTCATCGCACCAACCTCGATCTTCTTCTTTTCCAAGGAAAAGGTATTCCTCGGCAATAAGAAAACGCTAGGATCTACGATTAGCGTTGTGACTCAGGTTCCCATTCGAGCTCTCCAGGGACTTGAGGTCTCTTACTTTACCGTAGATGAGCGTTTGTCTTGGAGCCAGGGCCGCTCTGTAACTATCCCAGAAGATGCTGCTTATTCTTTAATGGGAATCTTCGGCGTGGACCTGCTCGTGCTGTATGCAGACGGTGACTATGATGAGAGGAAAGATATAGCGTTTAAATCCCTGAAAAAGGCGATTGCGGAAAAGAAGATTGATGAAAAAGAACCACATCATGTCATACGAATTGGTGGCGCATCTTGGAGTGACCTCGTGAGATTGAGCGAGAATGACTTGCAAGAATTGGATTCCGATCTTCAAGAATACCAGAAGTGGCTACTTGGAGAGTTGCCAAATCAGATCAATAAATTGACCGTCTGGAACTCATTGCTTGGAGAGCTTTCGGAGGCTACGGGAGTAAAGATGAAGGAATTATTGGAAAAGCATGGCGTTGCTTACGAGGACCTATCACACCTTCAACCCAACATGCGACCTTATGATCAGGCGTGGGCCCGCTTTAGTGACGAGAAACTCCCAGTACAAACGCGAGTGCAAGCACTAGTGGAAAATCGGTGGTTCTTCACAAGGAAGAATGAGAACGTCTTC